GGCGACCCCGGGGGCCTATCTACGCTGAGCCTTGCGAAGGTCTTGGGTTACCTCCAGGAGCCTTGATTGCCATCGACATCCCGGTGTATGGACTTGATGATGCACCTGCAGCTTGGCGAAACACGGTTGCTTCATTCCTAGTGGATGACCTGGGATGTGTCCGCAACATTGTGGAGCCATGCTGGTATTCTCTGTTTGACGATGGCGGCAACTGCTTAGCACAGATCTTAGTGGAGGTGGATGACTTCATCGTCGCAACAACTCCCAAGTTTTACCCAACACTTCAACAGAAGATGAAGGAGCGCTTTGATTTTGGGAAGTGGGAGGAGGGCTCTGCCGAGTATGCTGGAAGACGCATACGATGTACCGCTGATCATATCTTGGTCGATCAGTACAAGTACATTCACGAACAGATCCACCCCATCGCCTTGGCCAAAGGTCGCAGGTCTCAGCCCAATGAACCCTTGACTTCCGAGGAGTTCAGCGCTCTCCGGTCGTTGACCTACAAGATCAACTGGGTGGCCAGAGAAACGCGTCCAGAGGCGGCTGGGCTGGCATCTATCACAGCCTCAAAGCTTCAGAGCGCCAAAGTCTCTGATCTTCTGATTGTCAACAAGTTTGTGAACTTCCTCCGCACTACAGCTGAGAGGCCACTGAAGATATGGCGATTTGACCCCAAGAACATGTGCTTCATCGTTTGCTCAGACGCAGGCGGCATCAACACGAAGGGGGCTGAGCTATTAGACGAAGAGGGCTTACCCTCGGACGCAACCCAAGGGGCCTGGATGGTGATGACTGCCGCTCATCTTCCATGCGGCCAACAACAAGTCCAGGTCAGTCCAATTGCCTGGCGCAGTAGCAAGCTGAAGCGCAAGGTCTTTTCAACGTATGGTGGAGAAACTCAAGCCATGCTTCAGGGCGTCAATGAGGTGGACTGGTTGCAGATCATGTACCGCGACGCCACTTCCCACGATGTTCAACTTAGCAGCTGGAGGGCATCCCTCTCACCACATATGGTGGTCATTCGTGGCCAGTGCCAGATGGGAGGACGCCTCCAGCAATGCTCAGTGACGGATGCAAAATCACTATATGACTGCCTGCTACGAGAACATCCCAGCGGAAAACAAGATCGCAAATCAGCACTTGAGCTAGCGATAGTGCTGAGAGATCTGCAAGAGACACAGTCCATGGTGAGGTGGGTTCCTCATCAAAAGATGGTAGTTGACTGCATGACACATGAAGATCCATTGCGAGCGAATGATGCGATGAATCATGTACTGAGAAGCGGCATTTTAAGCTTGGTAGATGTGTCAGAAGAACTGCAGGCCAGGAAGTCAGATCCAGCCTACAGAAAGCGTAGTCATGCTGCAAGTAGAGAGAGGTTGCTGAAGGAGTATCACAGCAGCTATGTACAGTATATGGCATCCTTGGTCAAAGATATTTGGGGGAGCTGTAAAGATTCACCATTGTGTTCCAATGTATCAATTGACCAAGGATGAACATGTGAAACTGCCTTCTCGCCACCGCCGTGGCTCAAGGCCGAGAACCAAGGACGCTTGCGATGCCATGCGAGAAAACAGTCTCTTTGGCTTGGATCACCCGGTGCATCAACATCAAGGCAGTCGAACGGATCTCCAAAAAGTGCGGATTTGTTTTTGATCACATTGTATCTAGTTTCAAGAACCCCGACGTAGTGAAATGCTGGCCCAGGTTCATGCAAGTTTTCATGCTTTTTGGGTTCTTGCTGTCTCACTAAGAAAACTGCAGAATTTGAGCCGATGTGAGTGAGAGATGCCGATATTAGTTGCCTTGAGGCTGGCGTGCGTGATGGTTGGGGTATGCTGAACCAGAAAGATGGCACCACCTATGCTGGTCAATGGGTCTCAGGCATCAACTGAATCAACTGCAACGGAAGGGATGTCCAGTCCAGGACTTTGGGGTATCTTGGGGTATTCCTTTCCCTGGGGTGATGATACCAACTGGATCATACTCTTCAGGAGGGTGCCTTAAGTACCCGGAATCCTATACATCCTATGCTTTTTACTCGCCAGGGAAACGCCATGGAGCTGGAACTCTGATGTTCGATGGTGGCATTTTCGAGGGTCAATGGGCACGAGGAGAAGCAAGTGGAAGTGGCATTGCCACTCAGCTGGCATCAGATTAGGCCCAGCATGCCCAGCTAAAGTTGCTCAAGGGATATCCGTGCCCAAAGCTAGGTATACAGGTATACCCGTTATACCCACTGACATTCTATGGCATCCCGGAACATCCCCATGAAACCGAGTCACGTCATGGTCGTTCATCGATTTTTCTCTCTGTTTTTTGGGTTGACATTTGTAGGGGTAGACCACACGCTTCAGATTGAGGGTGCCAGAGTGTTGCGATAATGTATGGGCACTGTATGGGCTTTCTGGATAGGGTAGCTATGGTGAAGTCCAAGCCTGCGGCTTTGCAGAAAGGGGACAGCATAATCTCGATCACGGGATGACCTCAGGAAACGATCTGAACCTTGCGATGGGACACAACACAACTTTCAATTCTTGATAAAGGATATTAGATGATTAATTTTTAAGGATTAGAAAGAAAGGACCTCCTACACTCTGGTTCTGCTGCTTTCTGAAGGTCCGTTTCCACAACGGCGACACGTTCGAAGGCAAGGGAGTAATTTTGCATCTCCGTCATGATATGGCAGCACAGTCTACATGGTCTGGAAACTCGAGATTCTTCGCATTTCATGGAAAGCTGCGGCATGCGGCTGGTGTTGCAGGCCAGTATATCAGCAATCGGAAGCATGGTTTTGGCGTGTATTCCTGGGCGGATGGAGCTACAGAAGAGGGACAGCATCCTCGCTGCACACCTTCGTCAATGACATTTTTTGCAAAATTCCGTTGAGGCAAACTCAACAACAAACCCTTCCCACTTGGGGTTAACTATTGGGTATACCTATATAAATGACCCCAAAATGGTTGGTTACTGGGATCTTTTATGGTTAACCACATTATAGGAAGTGGCACTTTGATGAATTTTGACGTATCTTCGAGTCTCCGGTCCAGGTATTTCAATGGCCAAAAGAATGACTGGCACGTGTGGGCGAAGGGCGCTTCTATGTGGAATTTGCGTCGCCTAGCTGCAACGTCCCCATACTTCCACCTCCACCTTTGTCAGTTCTGGCTTTGCAGCTGGCAGTGACATGTAATGGCCATCTCAGGCTATGAAAGCGGTGCCCTGGTGGAGGCTCTACAGGCGACTTATCGCAACACTGGGAGGGCTCCATAGTTTGCTCTGGACTCTTTGGCTTTTGCTTGAACCAAGGTGAAAGGCAAGAAAAAGGAGAAGCCCAGAAGTCTTCCCTACCCCAGAGCAAAAGAGTCAAAGGAGCCTAGCCGGCAATCCTCGCAGGGAGCTTAAACCTTGCGAGCGTGATGAATTGGAACTGGTACCCTGGACCCTGGTTCTTCATCACAGCGATGAAGCCTGCCCCGGCAGCCTTACCCATCTCGTCAAACGCTGCGAGGCCAAGATCGCTGAAGACTTCAGCCAAAATGGCAGCAAGGCACAAGGGAACCATAGGGATCCATAGGGAACTGAGGTGCCCGATCCACCCCTACTTTCAACCCATAGGACACTATAGTCACTATATGGGCACCCATATTGTGGGACACTTGGACTTGCTCTTCCACATGCCGCAGGCCTAAAGCAAAGGTCACGCCAGCCAAGGCAAAAGTTCCAGTCAACGAGGATTCAGCTCTGATGGTAGCGGGAGAGGGGTTAGCACTTGAGATTCGCGCCCCACTGGTTTTGATGTGAATGACATACAGTAGGTGTTTCGGAACCAAGGCAAGGTTCAGCCATATTTCATGAATAATTCATGGTAGACATCAGCCATCATCAGCCTGAGATATCCGAGTTTTTCTACCCTGGCGATGGCGTGTGAGTCTGATCATAGGACCAGGATCCCACTTTCACCTCAGACCTGATGAACCAACTGCAACCGCAGCACCTGGAGCCACCAGCCGCCTGGAACAATGGGGATGTTGGAGTTTCTGACGGCTGAGCCCATGGCATGGACTGCCAATGTTGGCCAAATGGGAAAGATCAACTATGATCAACTTGTTCCAAAAACCACAACTGATTGCAGTCTGATCATTCTGGGACTAGAAGCATCCTGAAGCACTCTGCCACTTGGAACATGCAATGCCTCGATTCTTGGAGCATTACAATGCCAAGGCTGGGGCTGACCTCGATCACCTGGAAGTGGCTCTTCCCAGCGATACTGGGCAGCACAGCAAAAAAGGCGCTCGCTTCGGAACGGCGTCCCAGGGCCCTCCCTGTCACCAAGGAAGCGCACCAGATGTTCTGAGGATTTCTGAGGATTTCTGAGGATTTCTGGATGTGATCCGATGCGCCAATACCCAAAGATATCCACATCTGGTCATAGTGGTCTCAGTGGCCACGGCCAGGCAGCTAATGAAGTTGCTGGGGGAGTGTCCTGCTGAAGGCAGGATGCTCCTTACATCAGCTTGCACCATGTAGATGTTGACCTGGTGTGCAGGAGAAATGCCGGGAAAATACTGGCAAGAATACTGTAGGACTGTAGGATGTTGGGGAAGCTTCTATTCTTGGATGAGGTATACCAACAAGCATCGGCATCCCTCCTGCTAGCCACTTCTGTAGGAGCATGGCAACCAAGCCTTTCGGTGCTTAAGCCAAAAATATGGGCTGGGAATGGTTGGTAGATACTTGTAGCTCCATCTTGAGTGAACCATGGCGATCCTTTGAATCAGATCTGTTTTTCTGCCAACATCCGTCCATTCGCGGTGTGGCCACAGCTGGTGGCCTTGCTGGTGCCTTTCCGCAGCTTCTCAAAACTTGTTTTTGTGCAGCGCTGGTAACTCTACAATCACCTCGCCCAACTCACAAGGACCTCATCATTCACCCATGGATCACCTCTGGGCACCCGTGCGTAGTGCTATGGCAGCCATGGTTTAGCAGGGTGCTTCATGGGAAAGTTGGCCAGCAGCTTGGCGATAGTTACATAGTCTTTGCATTTTTCCGCGGCTTTTTCCTCCATGATTCTGGTCGGACCGGCACCTGCAGTTGGTTGGGAAACCATCTTTAGCTGAGGAAGGAGACCAGGCTCGGTGAGTGTCAAGGAACTGGTAGAGCCTTGGCAAATGATGGGAAAAGATGAAGAATGATAAAGATGGTAAATGCTGCAGACCCAGCGAAGCTCAGCTACAGAGCACTGAGGAGCAAGCAAAGTCTGCCAAGGATGCAGGTGCGGAGGGCCACCATTCCATGCCACAACCAGTTGGAGTTTAGACAAGCAGGTTCCGACTGAGACTTTGCCTTTGCATTTGCTACCTGTGTATCCCTGAGACACAGAAATGGTCACGCAGAACACACCGATTCTCACAAATGGCCAGGGATAGCCAATGATTTTAGATGCCTGAATGAAGTCTATAGATGTTTATAGGCTGAAGCTGAAGGTTGCCAGGGCCAGGTGAGGAAGCCATGAACTTGCATGATTGCATTCGGTGTTTTGGTGTTCTCCTCGAAAGATCGATTTTTTGAGTTTCCCAATCATATTGTCAGCGAGCATATGTTGTGCATATTTGTCCAACTTCGCGCATAGTGCATCCCTTTTCTGTTCTTTTAAGGGGCCTTCCCTCAGGCAACAATGAGAGTGCTCTAGAGAAACTTCTGCAAGCTGCTAAGCGAAAGGTTGCATCGCCGCAAGTGCAGGCAGGTTGGGGCCTCCTGGACTGGTGCAGCCTTCAAACTAGTTCACAGCCAGTAAGCAGATGTCAAGAGTCTGTGGTCCTCACAGTGAAGCAGCAGTAACCCCAAGGCAACCAGAAGATGTTGGGGTTACTCAACATTTTGGCCAGATCGCCATCTACGAGTTGGCCCTTCTGTATGCCCAACTGGGAAGGCATGAGGCAAGGCGTAGCGCATAGCGGCGTAGTGGCGGAGCTGCCTTTCGCTATTCCTTGTGATCAAACACAGTTTCAATATGTTTCAACAGGTTTCAATCAGTTTCAACAAGTGTTGAGATGTTGAGGAGATGACTGAGCCCACCAGAAAGGGTACGTTCCACACAGAGGGACTGGTATGATCTTGTAAATCTGGTATGATCATGCGGAAAATACAGCCACAATCGATTCTGCAGGATTCAGACCAGTGGCTTCAGCAGCTGGGCTTTGCTTGGAAGCTGAATCCAGTTGTGCTGGATAGCAGCTGCCTGCTTGGAAACCGCAGCCAAGGCAATGTGTAGCACCGTCCAGGGATGTCTGGGAAGTTGGAGGTAGAAGAATTTGTGGGATGATGTGCGTGCCTGATGTGGTTTGGTGGCTTACAGTTTTGATAGCGCTGAAGATTCTGAATGGACTTTATTCTGGGTGCCAGAATGAGGAGCCCGGGTTCAATATACTTGCAATAGATTCACTGTATTAGGCGCGAGTTTCTTATACGGTTGTGCCAGCAGGTGAGAGCAATCTGGTAGTTGCCTTTGACAACGCATTGCCTCTGCAGCTTCTTGCAGCGCTCCAGGCACATGGTGAATGTGCCGAATTTTGCACCAAAAAGATGTGTTCGCTGCTTGATTGTAATTGATTGATATTGTATGTTTCCAGTACTGAAACCTCAACAAGCTAGGAAGCCTTCAAGCCTGATGCTGCATTTTGGACAGAGCAACTTGGCTGCAACACCGGAAGGAAACTTCATGTGACCTTAAGATGGGTTCCAACATGTTAACTATACTGCTACAAAGTACGGTAGTAACCCCGGATCAGAAGTCAGTTACTCCGAAAAGGATGTCAGTAAACCAGTAACTACGAAAAAATGATTGCATTTGAAATATCACTCCTTTCTATCTCAAAATACATTCCTTTGGAGCTCTCCATTCCATTCTATTCCGAGATACAATTCCGCCTTCAAACCATTCCTCGGACAGCCAAAATCTGTATTGGAAGCCTTCAAACCATTCCGCGGACAGCCAAAATCTGTACGCAGCCTTCGGGTGCCGCGGAATGGTTTGAACGCTTCCAGTACAGCCTTGGTTTGAACGCTTCCAATGCGGATTTTGGCGGTCCGAGGAATGGTTTGAAGGCTTCCAATGCTTCCAATATAGCTTTCGGGTGTCCGCGGAATGGTTTGAACGCTTCCAATACAGGTTTCGGCTGTCTGCGGAATGGTTTGAACGCTTCCAGTACTGATTTTGGCTGTCCGAGAAATGGTTTGAAGGCGGAATTGTATTTCGGAATAGACCGGAATGGAGAGCTCCAAAGGAATATGTTCTGAGATAGAAAGGACTTGTTTTTGGAATGCAATAAATTGCAAGGCGAGTACAACAAATTGTACTTCGAATACAATAAATTCTGGTTCGAATACAACAAATTATAATGATTACAATGCGAATATAATAACCCTGCTTTTCCAAAACCGAAAAATTGCCAGGCGTGAGGGGTAAACACGGGTTTTACCGGGTAAAACCGGGTTTTGCCCTTTTAACTGCAGATTGTAGCTGGCTGTTGTTCTAGAAGATCCACGAGGTATGTTGAAGTAGTGGGCCGATATGTTCGGCTCTTTCGACGGGACTGCCCGATCTTAAGGGTTCGACTCGCGCATCCATGCCTTTTTTAAAATTAAAATGTCATAAAGAAGATTAAACACAAGTGAAAAAGTATCAACACAGTTAGGTGGCCCGAACCCGTGTTTCAAAACATGGGTTATCACGGGTAAATCATGGTTATATCACGAAAAAATACGGGTTGTGGACAATCCCGTTTTGTACAGAAACTGCCCCAAACCAGCGTTTTGGGTGCAAATCACGGTTATATCACGGGTAAACCACGGTTATAACACGGGTAAATCATGGGTTTGAGGTTGGAAGCAATCCCCACCCGAGGTTTACCTGCAAAAAAATTGAAGAAAATATGCCGTCTGTCGATTATCATTTCTGGTGGAGTCTACCAAAAAAACACAAAAAGAGATGGCTTCAAACAGCACCCATGCTTGTCAAATCAAATGAACAGAAGCTTAATGTCAAATTCATTTGGATCTGTTCGCATCCGCAAAAAATTGGGTAAATCCAGGGTTTTGGCCAAAAACCAGGTTTTCCGGGGTAAAACCGGGTTTTACCTTCCATTGCCCGTCAAAACTGAGGTTTACTCACAAACCAGGGAAATTTCCAGGGTTTGGAGGTATATTGAAATTTTATTTCTAATACCTAGCGCATGAAGAACCCACAAATTTGTAGGTCTTTTTCCAAAAACCTGGCTTTTTCTTCAGTTATGAAAAAAACTCGGTTTTTCTCAATTAATATGTGTTTTTTTCTTTACTAGGGAAAAAACCTACTTTTTCTCACACTTGGTGTCATGACATCTCATGATTCGTTCCCTTAGACGATTCAGACCCCTTTATTGATACCAGCCTTGGATCTATCCCTCTCAGTACCCTTCATGTTGATTATACTTCCACCCTGCTGGCTTTGGCTGGCAGTTCTCACAAGAAAGGGACCAATGCTCTTGGAACATGTCGGACAACATTAAGTGTGATCACAGTCAATCTGAAGTCGTTGGATGATTTTTTCCCAAGAACCACCCCTAGAATCCTAGAAGCATAAATTGAAACATGGCATAACATGGCTGTATTTTTTATCACTGGGAAAAAATGATTTTGGATTGCATAAGTCCAACAAACAGTCGAACAAAAGTATCGAAAAAAAACAAAATCATGAAACATCAATCGAAATTTTCGGTTTTTAATCATTTCGGATGACAATTTTAGGGTCTGTACCCAAAAAATGCCAAAAACCATATTTAAGCCGTACTAAGCCGTACTAAACCCATATTTAACCCGTACTAAACCCATATTCTGATATTGTAAAAAAAAGATCCGTTTTTTTGGAACCCATATTTAAACCATATTTAAACCATATTTAACCCATACTAACCCGTACTCAAAATATGTTTTTTTTGCCTCTGCGAATTGACGGCGCGACGTCGAGTTTTAAGGCTCCGCTTGTGGTTTTGCAAGATCGAACCGGTAATTGCCCGATCCAGACAAAAAGAAAACAATGCAGATTACGGAGCTATTGTCAATTTACTGGGTTCATATCTGAAAAGCTGACTTTTGAAATGCCATGCATATCCATTGCGACTTTTTGACTGCCTCCAGTCCCGCTGAAGGGAAAATTCGCAGCATAGGAGGCAACTGCAGCTGGTGGAGAACGCGCGCATCGTGTCTGATAACGCTTTCTTCGGTTTCGATCGCGCGTTCTGTCTGACAGATTTCACAAGCTGTCAGACATGTAATGAGGAGAAATTTGATACGGGTCCACCCGATTTGGACAAATTTGCGCAAATCCAACAAAAACCAAAATATTGGTTCTTTACAAAAACCCGGCTTTTCTCGAAAACACTATATAGGTTTTTTTTTTCTCCTCCTCACTGGACCTACAATTTTTTGGGTCTTTGAAGCTCCTGGTACGATAAAGTCAATTTTTTCGTAGTTACTGGTTTACCTTTTTCCGGGGTTGCTGGCTCAACATGTTTCGGGGTTACCAGTCTTCGATTTTTTAGCGGCTACCGGGGGTCCTCATACTGCTATTGTAACTATACTAAGGCACGGCTACCCAACACCAAGTTTCTTTTCTTACAACCAGCCCATTGAGCAGGACCTGTTGACATTTTTTTTTGCTTCTGGGAAGCGCTGCAGTGGCATAGAGTCACCTTAGAGAAACTCAATTCCTCAAATTTTCCGCAACTTACCTGCCCGAGAAAATAGCATCAAAATTGAACCTGTGCTCAGACCTGAAGGACTCAAACTTGATCACATCAGCAGCCAGATGTTTGGAACGTTTTGCTGCTGAGAGCTTCGGAAAGATTCTTGCGAACGACCGCGTTGTATCAGTTGAAACTTGGTCAAGGTTTGGATGCTGTGTGTCGAAACTAATTTTGCTGCTGCATTTCGTGTTTAAATTTATGTTATTTCATTTTTGTATTTTTGATCCGCATCAATTTGCATCGTCTATTCGATCTTCGATTATGTTCAATTAGAGTGCAGCCATTGCCATTTGCAAGGAATGGTGGGCGCACTCTCGGCCTTCCGGCAGTGGGAGCGGCCATCAGCTACATTTCGACCTGGATGAAGTGGACTTGAAGACCCTGGAGGCGTCAAGTTTTCAGCAGGCCCCTATGGGCGCTTCATGTTTTTGAAGAATGGGTCTCTACCGAGGAAACGGCTATACCAAAGCATCCCTTGGTTTCATGTGTGCTGTATCTCAGTTGATGCTTGGCTTGACATGGAGATTGGACGCACTTGTTGGGGGCAACCATCTACCAGTTTCAGGAAGTCAATATTTTGCACAAGCAGGGTGAGCAACGATTCATTTTCAACTTCAGCATCAAGCCTTGCATCATGCCCTGTGAGCAGTCTGAGACAAGAAGCTCAGGTGAGCCACATTCTAAACCTCGCCTTCATGTTTAGGAAGGGGCCCCGTGTAAAGGTGTGGCGTAAGCAAAACTCTGGTGAGCGTAGGCCAGCGTAAACTCATGCGTACGACAAGATATACGCGTAAGCAAAACCTGTGCGCAACGGCGTAGGCATTTCCTTTTGTGGTGGATATAAGACATTTTTCATGGCTCAGGTGGGTCCTCCTGCTCCACAACCATGGTCAGACGCTCAAATCTGTGGGCAGCTACCACAACTGATGGTCCAAGAGCCCGCTGAAAATACGCCGCGTGAGGTCACGGATCAGAACTTGGAGCCGCAAAGCCGGGCGAAACGAGCCTGGCTATGTGAACCCAAAGTGAATCGAGCGACTTGAACGTGACATTTTATCATGCTTATTTGATCTTATTTGTTCTTGCGGTGGGGTCAAGTTTATCAAAGAACGTTTGGCAGCATTTGGGAGATGGTGGATGAGACTCGAGGCGCTGCTGTTCAATGGCAGCTTGCTTCATGGTGTCATCCCCAACCTTGCTTCAGCAAGTGCACCCTGGCTGCAAGTGTCACGGGACTAGACCGGACTCATCGCATCCTACTATTAAGCACCCCCTATAAGTGTTCCCAAATAGGATAAATAATATAAATAGGTCTAAATCACCTACAAAACTAAACCATGGTTTATGGGGGATGTTTATGGATGTTTAATGTCAGGAGATGGGATCGCGTTGAGATATTTTTATCACAAGCCACGTGTTGACAAGCAAAGTTTTGCAGTCCAACCCTGCACAAGGAAAGTCAGGAGCCTCGGACCACCCTCATGCTGGGTCTGTGGGGGCGGCAGCCGTCCTGCGCCTGGGCTGCATTTTTCCTGTGGGGTTTTTGGACATGGTCAATCATCAGCACCTATAGCACAAGGTTCCCCACCGCCAGAAGCCCCTGGAGGAGGATTAGGACCTGGCCAGGGATGCAAACTTGTTTGGTTCAGTACATCCAGTGATGCTGGCCTTTTGAGGTGGAAAGCTTTGTTTCTGAACCATGTCCTTTCACTTGTTGCTGCTTGAAGCGGATGGAGTGGACATATGTCTCATGCTCATACTTGGTAAGAATTAATTAGAAATGGCATCTAAGAATCCTGGCAACTGCAGGACCCAACATGCACCTTGCCTGCAAACCTCTGGCCCAACGCAATGGTGGGATGGGATTCACCATGATTCGCATCTGATTCACCTCAGTGAGGCGCCTCCCAGAGAAGGGCTTTGATTGGCCATCCTCCCTGCAAGCAGCTGAGAGCCTGACAAAATGCCCCCGTTTGGAGGCGCGATCGCCGCGATCGTGGCCAGGTTACACTGATGTACAATTACAATGTGAGAATGGATCATGGAAACAGATGCAAACATCTTCAAGTTCAAGCATGCTGAGCACAGCTTCAGCAAAGGCGTGAAACATCTAGGATCAGCCAATATTATATGATATTATATGATATTCATTGATCTTATATTTATCTGTCACTGCTGACCGAGCCCTGGAGAATGCCAGGTGTCTCCTGTCAACTTGGCTGGACCTGTGAGCCCCGTGTGGTGCTCAGTACCGCAGCCCAGCGAGCCAAGCAGCTGCAGCGTGGACTTCATCGGCAAGTGGTTCCTGCGGGAGGTGCGGCGCAGGATCTGGGGAATCAACATGAATCAACCATATTATATTTTTATTTATATCACATCAATGATATAATATATATATATATATATATCAATACATCCTTTTTTGTTTTTGTTCTACGGCGCACACACACATATAATATATATATATTATATTATTTTATTATTTTTTATTTGATATTAGTGTTATATTATATTGTTATAGTTATGTTTTGTTATGTTATGTTACGTTTTTATCTTGCGCGCTGTCTCTCTCTCTCTCTCTCTCTCTTTCTCTCTCTCTCTCTCTCTTTCTGCGTCTCTAGGATCTAGCTGGTCAGACACCCTGCCGCGAAGGCGCCCGAAGAGTTGCAACGGATGGCACCTACCCTGGAGGCCCTGGAGGTTGAGGCACTGCAGGGGGTGGGGCCCCATCGCCAGGTCATGACAAGTGTTCCAGCCTGTTGGCAGGGTCTGTTGGGTGATCAGCCTCAAACAAATGAGAGTACAAGAGGGCACCATCAGATTCAGAGATATCCCTACTGCTTGATTTTGCCTCACACTTTCCTAGCATTCAACTTGCAAAGAGATCCTTGTCAAGTCTATCAATCACCCAGGGCTTTCAATTGAAATGCTTTCAATTGAAATCACATGCAGCCATTCGTTGGTGAACGAGGCATCCTTGCCCAAGGGGCACGCCACAGCCAGGGCCAGTTGTGGCTCAATGGCTCGCCATGGCTCGCCACACTGCAGCAATGGTTGTGGCCCGTGGCATGTTTTCCCCATTGAGATGTGGCCACTGCAGGAACTTGGGCAAGCGCCGTCAGATCAGAAACGCATCCTCCAAGCGCCCCAAAGTTCAGTCAGCTCGCCTCATCGCAGAGGCAGGAGCTCATAGCAACTGGCCACAGGCACTCCACCTCTGGAAAAGCTTCAAAGATATCACTGGCTCAGATCATGCAGCAGATGCCACCATCAAAGCTTTGGGAAGAGGAGTGCAATGGGAACGAGCTGCCGAATTCCTGAGCAAACAGATGGCCTCCTCAGCTGGACATGGTGTGACCCTGTTGGCCGTTGCTGAAGCAACTGCTTGGAGCCATTGCCTGTCCATCCTGAGCACCATGCATCTTCGGAGGGTTGATGCAACTCCAACATCTTTGAATGCGACCATTGTCTCATGCGGAAGGCGTTTCATGTGGCAAAGTGCTTTAGACCTGCTCTTCACATATGATCAGCAAGCAAGCCACCAATCCATCATGACCTCAGACTGCGCTATGGCTGTGTTAACAGCGTTGCAAGTTGCCCACCAATGGGAACAAGCCATTGCTATGATCGCCACTCTGCCCGATCCCAACGAATCTCACATGACTGCAGTCGTGGAAGCTTGCAAACGTAGTCATGCTTGGGAGGCATCCTTGAGATTCCTTGGGACAGCCATTGATCAGAATGCCTGTGACGCTGCCATGCGAGCTTGTGCCATTTCTTCCGAATGGCAAGCGACACTTTCCTTGTTGTCAAGGCACACTGAGGCTGAGCCCTCCGGCGTCTCTACAGCTCTTTCAGCCTTAGCAAAAGCTATGCAGTGGCAGCGTGCAATTCATCTCTTCAACCAGACTCAACTGCTTTGGACCCTGAAACCGGAAGAAAACCACAGAAAAGCCCAAAAAGGCAAGGAAGAGGATGACAGCTGGGAGATCATCAAGGATCGTAGCTTGCTACGGGCTTTGGGTGCTGGACATCTCTGGGAAAGCGCGCTGTTTCATTTTCAGTCAGCGAATCCCCAGGATGCTTGGAATTTGAGCGCTGCAATTTGGGCATGCCAAGTAGCAGGGCAGAGCGTAGCACGTGAGCTTTTATCTGAGCACTTGCGTCAACACCAGAGAAGGCGAAGCAAGCGTAAGGAGTTGCGTCTGTTGGAACATTTGTCAAAGTTGAGTGATCCAGATGCTGTGCAGATTTTGGCCTCCATTGAGGATTTTTCCAAGGAGAATCGCTGGCTAAAGGTGGCTGGCGGGGAGAAAGGTCAGATCTTGGAGTCCATCATCAGCCCCGGGGATCGCGTGCTCGAAGTCGGCAGCTACATCGGCTTCACCGCGTTGCGCCTGGCACAGCATGGCTGCGAGGTGGTGACCATCGAAGCTGATCCTTTGAACGCGGCAGTGGCACAGGAAATCGTAGAGATGGCCAGTTTGGCCACCATGGATGGCACCGGCACCCGGGGATCACAGATATCATCCAGGGTGAAGATTTGTGTGGGCCGAGCCAGCGATTGGTTGTCCTCCGGCTTGTTGGATCCGGTGGATGTGATACTTCTGGACCACCGTGGTACCATCTACCATGAGGAGCGGAGATAGTTCAAGATACTTTAAGTATCTTTAAAGAATGTTAAAGAGACTTTTAAGTAGTTTAGGAATGTTTAGGATTGTTGAAGTAAGATATATTGAAAATTAGTAATGTTTGACCAACTGGTGGATGGCCCATGTCCAAGGACTTGGAGATAGCAGAGCCTCTGCTGCGTCCTGGCGGGCGTGTCATTGCGGACAACGTGCTGCACCCAGGGGCGCCCCTCTTTGTGTACGACGTGAGGGACAGATACAACCTCCAGGCACCTTAGATTCCCTATGGTTCTATGATGTTCTATATGGTTCTCTGAAGTTTTTGAATCCAAAACATCTGAAGATCATTCAACAATAAATGTGATGAAAATTCTATACCCAAATCATTGCAGCATTTTCCCCGCAAAAAAAAGTGTCAGGTCCACGTGCTGGAGGAGTTTGGGATGCCAAACATCGAGGATTGGCTTTTCGTTTGCCATCCTAAGACCCGGCCGTGGCCATTGCCATTGCGCAGACGGATGCAACTGGCCTCCGGTGGCTGTGCGGCCTTGAGACAATGGGGGGCCGAGGTGAATCGACTCTGCCACGAGAGCAAGTTTGGGCCAGTGGATTGGGAGGAATTTCAGGGCCGCCTCCGGCCCATGCTCTTGGAAATGCTTGGTGATGCAGTGGAATACCACATCCACAAGCCAGGAGTTGCTGGAGAGAATTGAAGAAACTTAAAGCTTTTAAGCTTTGCCTGCTGTTGGATGTCGATGGATGTCGATGGATGTACTGGACGGGGCGTGCTTTTCTGGGTTTTCGGGCGTAAGAGTTGGCACTACTCCCTCTTTGGTGCACATGGCAAAGAAAAGGGGAGTGCGCAGAGGTTTTTCTTGTTCGATGCGAGTCCTGGAAGCACAGGCTCGTACCATGAAATACCCGTTCATGTCCAAACTAAGCACACAGATGTACATAGAAGCTGGTGTGGGAAAGGTCCGGAGGTGCTTTTAAATTTTAGTTGAATGGATGTTGAAGGATTCCAACATCATTAGCAAAGATAAATTGACACTTGAAAAGATATGGAAGGTCTAAGAACAAAATCAAAGAGTCGCAAGATCCGCAGCTCAGGGAGGCAGTTTATGGAGCAGTTTTCTGGCAGCACGGCCTGGCATCCCGCGCGGATCCGCATGGTATTTATCAGTGTTTGCGACCCATCGTAATATGTAGCTTCAAAATATTTTATAATTTATAATGATTTGATAATGGATTATGGATCATATGTAGCTTTATATAATTTATATATTTTATAATATTTGTAATATTTACAATGTAATGAATGGATTTAGCACATGGATCATGTGCTGCCAATAGCACGTCCCTTGATGCATCGCTGATTCATGTGCCAGGAAGTCTCCATGGAAGAACTGCAACGACTCCGGGAAACGCAGCTGGAGCGGGAAAATGCTGAAAAATGGAGCGACCTGCATGCTACTTTTACTACGGTGCAGCCAGCACGTGCGCGGCATTTCTATTTCTCAAGTGCCTGGCAACGTTGCAAGTGGGAAATCCAACTTCCGAATGATCACACAACATCATCTAAAGCCAATAATGATAATTATATATAACACAATACCCTGACCAAAATAATCAAAATAAACCAATCAATAAATGCATATAAATATTTTATATGATAAATATAATAAATATGATATGCAATGATATGCATCAAAACCATAAATCACCCATCGCCGAGGCCACCGGTGGATGCCAAGACCTTGGCCCCCACGGGGCTCAGGAGCTTCGTGGTGCACGAGGAGCCCCGGATGGTGGCCGTGCCGCAGTTCCTGAGCCCGGAGGAGTCCCTTGGACTCGGTTGACCCGGTGATGTCCAGGAGTTCATGGTGAAAAAACCCGTGAAACATGGGGAAAGTCATGGTTTTCACCATTTTAACTATGGTCTTAACCATGAAAATACCATGAAATATGGGGATTGAAGTGATTTAAGCGTGAAAAATGGGGAAGTGCACCAGTCAAAATGGGGATTTGGAAGATTTTGGAAGGTTCTAAACCATCGAGAAATAGGAATTTAATTCGTTGAACATTCGGGATTTCATGGGATATTGCTGGGGATATGATGGGATTTAATTGCGATATCATCGGGATTTAAAAAGGCTTGCATAAAACCAACCATGATGCGGTGAAATGCGATCAACCAACAATAAGATTGAGTTTTTTCAATTTATGGTCATTTTTTAAATAGGGCAATACAAGCAACATGATGAAATGCTGGTTGTGGCTAATATTAACCATCACATTTGGGGGTTTCCACCCATGGGCCAACCCCATATTTGGAAGAAAGATACGGATACGGGCCAAATGGCCAAACGGCCAAACCATGGTGAAAAATCGTGAACAACTGTGGGGCTGTGAGGGAACATAGGGACATAGGGCATCTTGGTGATCAGATCATGGCTCGTTGATCAGCTGGGCTCAAAGCGTGGCAGCGTTCTGCCGGAGCCAAGCTGGAACATGCTGCTTTTAAAGGTGCCTCTGCATGCAACGCAGTGGATGTTTGACTTGTAAATTGTAAATGCTGTTGGGATAAAACATCCTGTGTGCTGGTTCTTCCATGTTCTTCCATCTCCATGGTTGAAGTCCTTGGTATTTTTCAACCTGAAACCATGCCACAAACTTGTGGGATTTTGTGGGTTGCAGTGCATGTTGGACCTTTTTTTGGGGGGTTCGTCCAATCAGATAATCAAGACTCACAGCCTATGTCGTCCAGGGCATGGTTTAAATGGGACACTAAGGGCAGATGACACATGGTACAGCCGCGCCTAATAGGCCAGCTGGGTGTTGGATGCACGGGATCCTGAGCTTCCCAGATGCGTCTTTGACAAGCCCGAAATTCAGGGCACGTGGACCTTGCAGGGGCCTTAACGACACGAATGAAAGATCCGCATCTATAGCCTATCAATCTTGATATAGAATCAGTAACAGCACGATTTTCGATTCCAAGGTTGAGGAGTCACAAAATCAATCTGCATCACAATGGCACCATTCACATTTTTTGGCGGTTTCACCAACATGTTTGATTTTGTATTTCCTTTTGGGACCCCTTCTGCAACTGACAGCTGAGCTGGCAGGCCTGCTGGCCGCCCATTTTGCTTCGTCGGATCTGAGCCGTGTAGAGCGTCTGCGGCGAAGCTGGGATCTGCAATGAGGCTTTTAGGCAAAAAAGTGATGATAAATATCTATTTACATGAAATTTATTGCCAAACAAATAGCTTCCCATTGTCAGATCATTGCCCCTGCGAACACGTTAGTGTTGCGTCACATTCTACTTCACTTAGTTGATCATATCCCAATTTTGCTTGGTGATTTCCTCCTTTGAGATCCTATAATCCGATATAATCTGCATATCATCATGAATCCAGATGAATCCAGATCTAGCTATATCAGCTATGAACATATCTCAAAATCTCTTCACAATGGCCGCACCAGCGCCTTGGCACGTGGCCAAGGACTGCTTCACTCGGTGGAGGAACAGACCTGGCGGGTGCCTCTGCTGGTGAGCTGGTCTGCGGAAGACGCCTCAGGCGGAGCGGGCGGAGCAGGCTACGGCGTGGCGGAGAAAGCCCAAGCGGTCTTGGAAGAGTTCCAACAGAGGCCCGAAATGCTCCGAAATGATCCAACACATTCCAACACGCTCTTAGCAAAGATGTATTATACATATATTACATATCTACATGTCTGTATTCAAGTCAATGTGAATGTTTGATATACCTTCATTGACTTGAATACAGACATTTTCTTTGCCCTCGGCTGTTGTCAGCAGCTTTGTTGATACCTTTGGCTCCGTTCAGGGGCGTCCTTCATGCCATGCCACGCTTGCGTGGTCGCCGTTCGCAATTCCAGCACTATGGGCGGCTAAGGGACAGCTGGTGGCAGTCGTAAAGTGTTAAAATCTTTCAGGGCTGATAGGGACAACTCACCTTTAGTCGATCAGTTCTCTAACATTCCTTATTGATTTTCTATTGTTTTGGCTTGAAGCCATAAACAAAAATCCATGAATGAACCATAATCAACCCAATGACCCCCCAATTGTCACCACGTTGACCCATTTGGCGTACAGATGACCAGGAGAGCCTCAAGCGCCACATCACGGATCAGCCTTGGGTTTTCTTCTCTGATGATGATGTGTCTCAGTTGCAATGCCTGGCATCAGATGCCAAAATGCGTTCACTGTTGGCTTTACTTCACCACTAGCACTATAGTTGAAGAATGTTGAAGAGAAAGACAATTCGATCCTGCAGCTGAGCTGTGCACTTAGGCCATCGGCAGATGGATGGCCTCTCTTAAATACTATTTATATCTATTTATTCAATTTATTCAGACATATTTCTACATCTTTTTGTTTATCATATTTTATCATCTTTTTGTCGTTCTATTCCACTGTCAACTCCATCCTCCGTGCCCTTTTACGTGAGGACCTGTGGCATCCCAAACGTGCGGAAGAGTATGCCACCGCCATCCAGGAACCGAGCCGCTGTTGATGGTTGTGGCTTCCAGGGTTCAGAGGTGACACACCTACAGGAACAACCATGGTGACAATCAGGATGAAACCACTAGTGACAACATGTGACAACATGTGACAACTATAGTTTGCAAGATTCGTAACAAAGTGAAATCCATGATGAAACTGCGAAGTCGCTGGCGCAGGCAAGGCCGAAGCAAGAGCCAGTGGTGCACTCCAGGTGCTCGGTGGATCACATAGCTTCAATGGGAAAGCAATGTTCGAATGGCACTCACCTTTGGAAGATCTGTTGAGCGCGTACCTGGAGAACATGTGAGAGCTTTCATATTTCAGCTGCAGCCTTCTCAATATCCAGCTCTTTACATCCTAGACTCCCAGATGGCCAAACACCGGATGGACTATCGCCATACACTGAGATGTTGAGTGTTTTTGGGATTCGATGGGTTTACCATTTATCCGATTTATCCAATCAAAAAGTAAATCATAGTTAAACTAGTTGCAGGGTGTCCACAAATGTCAACAAACCACCAAGAACAAGGCACCTGTCGTCACCTGTCGTCACCTGTCGTCACCTGTCGTCACCTGTCGTCACCTTTCAGCCCCTTGGAGGATTCATTTGACGCCGGGCCTGGGGCCTCGACTGCCGCTGACTGCAACGGCGGCACAAGTGACGCAGATGGAAGCGGATGGTCTGCTACGGGTAGCCATCAGTGCAGAAGAGGCAGTGGTTTGACCATTGGGCAATCAGGGAGGTGGAACAAAAATGAAAATGGGACAAAGGTCCTGTGGTTGAGAGGATTTTTGGAGCTACTTGAAGGTTCCATGATTTCCTCATTGATCTATTTGTGGCTCACTAAGAGATGTTGAGGTTATTTTTAGGGAGCGCCCAGACACTTTTTTTCCTGGCAATGTTCCAGGAAAAGCCTGGTTTGTTCGGCACAGCCACGGGCGAATACTTTGACGCTGCGGCGGAGTTTCAGGTGTTCGACGATGCCAGGCTGCATTTTCCACCTTTACCGAGGTTGATTCAGAAATAGGCTCCCCACAACCAATGATTTCACCATATTTCACCTGATTTGGGATGGATGAAATGAAGTGGATGGAAAGATATGGAAAGATATGGAAAGAGAACTTACGGTCATTACTATAGTCATTACCCTTCTGATCAGTGAGCCTACCTTGGCCCTGTCCCCAAGGATTTCTTCGAGCGACACAATGATCAGGTGATCGCAAATCAATTTGCGGAGCTTTGGTGGCAGCTTTAGAGAGCCAGATTCAGTCACCCAGAGAGTATTTCATGTACTTGGTATGTCAGAAATGTTCGTGGAAATGCTGCAGCCCTATGAATTTATATGAATTTGTTAGACTGTACATCGGTCACTATTAGACTAAGTCTACTATGACTTCTTCAGACTTATTTCCCATGAATTTCTCCCAACTCCCATCCTGGATCGACAATTCATGGCTGCAGATGGCTGCAGGATATCCGCTTCCGGACGCACTTACTGCGTGGAACAAACCGAGTGTATCGCTTTCTGCCACGCAGTGCCTCTGGAGATGATCCCCATGGACATTTGCCCTGGATGTATTTCTATGATCCTTGGATATCCGATATGGCACGGCTGGGTGATATTAGTGATGATAATGAATCTGATATGATTGATATATGTGATGATGATTTGCTGCCTGAACTGAAAAGGCATTTGATGCTAATGTTTAAGGATCATATATTGTTTAAGTGGTATCTGAGTGTTTTCTGTGCGCAGTTTGGTCCTGATATCGACACAGATTGCCCGTGCAGCACTAAGGACAGGCCAACGATGCCTTACAGCACACCTCCTGGGCAGGAAGATTTGGAATATGTTTCGGATGAATTGCCAGATCCGAAGTCACTCTGCAAGGATCATCAAGGGGCGAAATATCTTGACCGCAAACATTTTTGCACCATCCAGATTCATCCAGTATATCCAGTGAGAGTTTGTTGGTCAAGCGTTTAGAATCTTTTGGACATTTAGACCTGTAGCAGCTTGTAGCATGCCGCTAACTACTGCTAACTCAAGATCAGTTCGAATAGCGCTGAGGCGAATTGCAGGCATGCGGCAAACCTTGGATTGCGTGCTGTTTCAGCTGACTCCTACGAAGGGTCCGTTGGAGCGGCACTCAGACGCGATGTGACGCGCGTGACGTGCACGACGCGTGTCACGACATCCATATGGCGTGTTGACGTGCAGAAGCATCAGAAGCCAATTGAGGTTGAATTCTAGCAGGATCATGCAGGATGATGGATGACCATTAGGGACCATTAGGGATCTTGATGTTAGGCGTCATGAGGCGCCCCAAGATCAACCGAGTCGTACCAAGGAGATCACTGAGCAAGACTTTGCTCAGTCTCTGGTGGGCACCTTGAACGAGGTCTCCTCTGCCAGTGTAGGGGGCCTCGAGGTTTCTGCAGCCGACTGGATAGGTTTTTTCCGTGATACTGGGTAGCAAAAGGAAACTCAGTACTCGCTACTCTACTTAATATACTTAATTCATCTTAATCGTAATCCGACTATAGGTGCAGATCCAGCAGACAGTTTGCCCAAAACTTTCCCGAGTTGGAAACAATGTTCAAAGTTCAATTTGATTTAATTATGATTCAATTTGTCTACATTATATATCAGTTGGATAAAAAAATGAAATGATCAGCACCAAATTTGGACTTTAGCCATGGCCATCTTGGTGACATCCGAGGTGGCAATGGCGCTGGACCGCTGCCGGAAGCATGGGGTGAGGGTCGTAAAGGCTCCAGGCTGAAAGGTCGAAAAAGTTGAGTGCTGCCGTGGTCACAGAGATTCCCTTCGCTACGAGCTGGTTATTTTGGGTCAAAATTTAACACCTCATGAAAACTGATGGTGATGGAGAGAGGGAGAAACCACACATTGAGTAAGATCAAGACATTGACCCCTCAAAAGTGGGTAGTTATATATTATATATATATTATATATATGTATATATATGTGTGTGTAATTATATGTATCTGTACATATCCGCATATGTATAATTATTATGTATCATTTATTTAATATCTTGTCTTTAGTTCATTTGAGTTAGTTCAACCCATCCCCCAAAACTGGGAAGAGTTTACTTCCCAGTCCTAGCCGTCGTTTTTTTGGTTTACAACACCAATCATGATTAATCTTTGCCATAAACCTGACCGTTTGCTCAATTAGTATATAACGTTTGCCACTAGGAACGTGTATCGAACTGGGGGGGGCCTTCCTGCAAGTCATTGGCATGTTTCACTTCCAGGCGTTGCCGCTTATATCAAATCCTCAATGTGACTTACAGGTTGGATCCTGGGTTGTTTTTTGGGAACTGCTGGTTCAATCACTAGCTTAGTTTCGGCTCAGTTTTCCTTTTTGCCATTAACAACTGTGTGTTGTGGCCATTGGGACCCAAAATTTTGTTGGTTGCACAATTGAACCACTGCCATGAGTTGATTTGTCATGGGATTCCTTCCTCCGCCTGGCCTAACCTTTCCTTCCATTTTTATCCATTTTTGGCTCACGCAGGCTTAGGGCACAACTTCCTGCCCTGTTTTTCATACATGGCAACTCTCCTGAGCCTCGGCTTCTCCGTTGTCCTCATTAGCTCAGCGAATGCCTTCCAGCTGCTGGACGTCGGAGCTCCACGCACTGGCACCCAGTCGATGTATGCCGCCTTTAAGATGCTGGGGTTGAAGCCACGCCACAGCGGATACGACCTCACGTCACGTGATGCTTTGAGTTGCTGAAATCGGTGCTGATTTTTGATTTCTGACTGGGATTAAAATCCACCATAGATATATATATAGATATAAAAGGGAGAATCGATGAATATTTGGGGACCATCTTAAGCAAATCCCAGGAACCACTATGTGGATATCTTTTTGGCAATGCTTCTGGCAATCGCTCACTGGATGATGCGCTTGCCACCCTGAGTGGATTTGACGCAGCCATGGATGAACCATACATGCTCCTTTACGAGGAAATCATGGCAGCCTTTCCTGAGGCCAAATTTCTGCTGACGATTTCCGATGCTGAAAGCTGGTTCAACAACTACGTGGACCTCGCGCATGGCTACCAGCGCGCGCATGAATCACTTACTGACGGCAGGCCCTTTTATCATCAAAATTGTACTGGCATGAGGTCATGGGGGTGCCATTTCGTATACCATGCCCAGAATCAAACAGAGGCGGACTATGCATCCAGAAAGGAGACGTGCCTGCAAAACTATGAGAGACACATTGAGCGTGTGCAGCAAGTCATTCCGCCGCAGAAGTTGTTGGTCTACAACTGGTCCGATGGTTGGGCCCCTTTGACGCATTTCTTGCATCTTCCAGTGCCAGAAGAAGAGTTTCCAAAAGTGGATGAGGTGAAAATACATATTGACAAGAGAGGCAAAATCATGGATGCGCTGGGAATGAACGGATGAGAGAAAAAGAATCAATCAGCTGCTGGTTCGAGCGATTTTGACCCATGAAAGCTCGCGTAAATCGGAGATAAGGGGAGGCTTTCATTTGAACCATGGGGCATATCCTACTGTCATAGTTTTTTCATGCTATTGTTGTGCTTAAGGGCTACCCAATTTCGCCCCCCCCTCATGTGGAGCCTCATAACGACCCAATGTTTGCCAATGTTGGGACGCGCGCACGATCTATTTAGGTGCATTGTGCGATAGTGGTGGCCAGGGTCAATTAGCGACAACAGGGGGTTCACTGAAAACATCCGAAAGCATCGGACATCTGATTGGTGGTTTGGAACATTCTCCATTTTTCCATATATTGGGAATAATCATCCCAACTGACATTGTCATGACCACACAACTGAAAAGTTGCCTTTGCTCCATGTCCATTAAAAGAAAGGTAAAACAACCGACATGTTCTGGTTAAAATCCTCATTTTATTGATTAAAAACATTTCAAAAACAAACAAAAACTTGAAGCAAAACATATTTGTATATAGAAGATGATGTTCGAATAATATTCTATGATAGTTGGATGTGGCAATTTCTTGAGGTCCTGTTAGATTTCACGGGCAAGGCCCTGGGAACTACATTTGGCCCGGCCATTCTTGTACAAGTATCACATGAGGAATATTGAGGAATCCTTATTTTTTTTGGGCGCCCCAAATTTGACTCATACTCAGACATACCCAACATCTTTTTCGAAGATTTTCGAAGATAACCAGAGTCCACCAAGTTAGTCTCTTCCTCAGTGGGTTAACCGTTGTCAGAGCTCCTAGATGCCTTGCAATGAACAAAATCCAGAATACCGTTCCAAGGTGTAGACACCTCTGTGATCTTGCAGAAGGTGGATGGATCCGCTCGCTGGCTCGGTGCTGAGTTTAACATATATCCATTTGGGCATGCGTCAATTTTTCAGACCTAGCGACCTGCTTGCTGATTCAGCCACCTAAAAACTCATTTGGCGGGGTTCCCATGGCCAGAGTGGCCAGAGCCATGCTATGCTATGCAGATCCATCACCAAACAGCAGTACAGACTGCACAGAGCACCCCAAGGTCGGAAAGTTTGCGGACCCTGCAGCAGGCCAAACGGATACAGTGGCCACCACGGAAGCGCAGTCAGGGCCCCTGGGCCCTGGACGGAGAAGCCATGGGGGCCATGGATGGCGGGGCTGCATCCCATCCCCATGTCCTGCAAGCGCTGCAAGGACTAGGACCTCCAGCTCCTGTCCACTGCGTGCCTCGCAGTTTGCGCTGTTGAGGGCAGTTGGGTTTGGGATGGTTTGGGGTCAAAAAACACAAAACAAAATCATGAATCTCTGGAGAAGACACTGATGATCATTGATGTTTCCTGTTTTTGCCGCCCTTCCATTCGTACAATTCATTAATTAACTAATTAGCCAATTTTGTGCCGAATGGCTTAACTCTTGGAACTGGATGATGGGACCTGTTTTCTAACCTGGAATCCCCCACATGAGCTACAGCCAAATTTTACCGTAATGGAAAGTAGTATTCGAGACATCTTTATTTTTTGGAAATTGAGCTGGGGGCTTGGAAAATAATACACTCTTCAAAAAACGTTTAACATTTGCTATATGCCCAAGACCTGAAAAACGAAAAAACACACTCTTCAAGTTCATTGATGACTTGGACTAAAGATACATCTATTTATATCTAAATATTGGCCCACTGGCCCACATCATTGGCTTAAAAACCATTAAAAACCATGGTTTTTATCATTACTGGCTTAAAAACCATTAAAAACCCATGGTTTTTCCGTTGAAGAACTTCCCAAAGGACCAATGACTCATGACTTGACGACTTGACCAAGGTCCGGCCCAAACGACCATTGTGCAGCGGATCGAGCAGAGGTTGGCACAGCCCCTTGGAGGTTGGACAGTTTTCCAGTCCTTGGCAAGGGTGACCTTATTTAATTGACCACACCTACATATGTTCCATATGTAAATAATATATATATATATACATATATATATATATATATATTTATAACACACACACATATATATATATATATAATACAGATACATATATCTATGGTACACAATTAAGCGCATATATAGATGTTTGAAGATATTTGCTCAGATTGGTTATTAAAGAGCTCATGTTGGCTCTTTGTTATTGGACGACGAATGGCGTCGCTTTTTCCAGAGGGTGATCCTCACTTGCCAAGGCTCGCCAAGCTCCCAATAGAGACATTAGAAAGACTGGTCGTCGTGCGCTACGAGCCAGATTCTCATTCCGGAAACTGCATGATTCAATGGATTATAATGGATTGGAAGGAAAAATCGCAAAACCGGAAACCATGGTTTTTACCATCAAATATAGGGCTTTCCTGTAAAGTTTCCCTTAAACCAATCCATTGAATGATGATGCACTTGCAATCACTTGGCTCAGCTTGAGCACCTGAGCAAGAGCCTCGTTACATCTCGTTACGAACAAGTGCAACGGAGCACTTTGAATGGTCAATCTATGACAATCCTGGATGGTGCATTACTGAATCATTACTGCACTTGGATTCATTTGTATTAATTTCCCCCTTCGTAGGTGTGAATTCATCACGGTTCATTTTTTTAGATTGACGGCATGTGATTATTCCCACTGGTAGAACTCGAAGTGCCTGGAGCCCTGAACATCCGCCGCTGCACTACAAGGCCCGGCCAGGAGTTTACTGTGCATCATGCTGTGGCCTCGTTGATTTGTGCTTTTTGGCCACTGAGTTCTCAAGCATCTGGGTGAAAACGGAAGAGTGTCTCGCAATGGCTCTCTCTGAGGATGGGAAATTTCGACCCATCACCATCTTTCTCTACTTGAACGAGCTGCCCGACAACTGTGGGGTCAGCCGTGCATGTGTGACATCATGAATCAACGCCTTGTTTTAGTAGACTGGCTCCAACCTCGCATCTTGTGGTAATCTTGCTATATCTTTCTGCATGGCTTGCACAGGGTCGGAAGGCATGCTGAGTATGGACCAACCATCAGCCAGGGCGACACCTTTTTCCCACACCTTGGCTTCAGCTTCGTCCCTAGAACAGGTGCCACATGGGGCGCTGGCAGAGAGGGTTTTGGTATTTCTTGCTGCTTGTTTTGGGGCTATATATCGTGGCATCTGGCTCGGCAATTTGATCCTGTGTGAGATTCGAGCCTCTCACTCTACCAGTGATTGACTCTGTCTCAATATGTCTCCCTCCCCAGTGATCTGGCTATTTCGAGCATCCGATAGCAGTCCTCTGAACGAAGCACCAAGTGCTTTTGAGAATCTTGCAAGGGAGGAAGGCTATAGGCTATATTTCACTACATTGTAGCCTTTCAGACACTCCCGACCAGAATCCAGTTGACAACATGTTGCAGGCTGTGCTGTGATGTGGCCCAACGCACAGCCAGATGGCAAGGAGGAGCTGGTCATTGACCCTTCAAAACAGACAGAGACAAAAGGCCTGTCTGGATGTCAGGTGAGACCATGGAGAACCACTTTTCGGATTTCGTTCTGAAGTGGGATTGTCTTTTTGATTCCTTTTGTATCTTTGGATTTTGGGCAACGTGTTGCTGATTTTCTTCCGTCGTTAACTTTATGATACGTACACTGATTTTATTTGCGACGTTTTATAAATCCAAAAATATAGCCTATTATAGCCTGTTAGATCCGGTTTGATTCTTGAAACGGCCCCCCGACCTCAGCCAAGGGTAGTTGTATGTAGTTGTTATCTTACAGTAGAGAACATCAGGCTGGATCTCCATGGCACGCATGCAATGGCCTGCTGTCATCAAGCTTCAAGGGCTGACACATCGCCGCGTCTTCCTGGGCGCCCGAGTTCCAGCCATGCACGGCCAAATTCGGGTTCGAGCAGTCTTTCCACTGGGGTGGACACGCAGACATCGCGGAGATGATTGGAAAGGTTTGGGAATCTCCTTTTGTCCAAGGAGCGTGTAGAGGTGATTTGGATGCTGTGAAGTTTGGGCAATACGTGGTACAAGACATTGGCTGCTGCATGCCTGGTCAATCAAAGTCCTTCATGACCTTCATCAAACATCCCTCAAAGAACAGGGACCCCACAGCAATTTGACCAAGTACTTTCCCAGATGCAGAGTGAGTATGTCATAGTATGTCACTTACCTGGCTGAAAAAACATTGAATTTGGTGAATATCAGCTGCAGCAAATCAGTCCAGACATATGTACACCTTCTGAGCGATGTAGCAGAATCACAGCCACTCCTAGCCATCATTGCTTTTGCCTCTCGTACTGAACGGTGGGATTGGCTAGGTAAACGTATGAAGTCTTACAGGACCTGGCAATGCCTACAATGATTGGATCAGGGGCTGGTCGGGCATGCGCATATTTACGCACTCTGCGCTGTTCATGGCTCTGGTGCATCAGGTCGACTCAATTCAGTGGTCGATGAGATCCCCAGCGAGATCCGTGGAGAGGTCCTCATCACGGCACCCGTTGTAAAGGGCGATTCTCGCCTGTGCTGCCTGGGCATGGCCTATCTCATGCGGGTGACCAGCGTAGCCAATGGCGCACAGCAAGTGTTGTTGAAGTGAGACTATGATCCAATAGTCGCTCCGGCTTTTCCATTGGGAAGAAGCGACTTGGTAGTTGATAAGGTTTGCGGGTAGGCTGTCTCTCCCTCTTCACAGGGACTTCTGGCGTTGTTGAGTCGAGTTGTTGGATCTGTCTGGAACTGTTGCCCAGAGTGACTGTTGGATCATGAGCTCTGGGCAACAGTTCCAGACGTGCTCATTTTTTGCTGTTTACTCACAGTGGCGAGACTGGCGGTAGAAAACTGCAGACAAATAGTGATGAGCCAAACATCGAATGCAGATGTGTAAACCCTATGCTGTACACCGGAATAGCTTTATGAAGAAGCATGAAGAAGCGAGTTTGGAAGAATCTGAGACGTTTTTTCTTAAATGTAATGTATAGGGATAGGGCGGCCCGGTTTCATCTGGTGAAGAATGAAACACCGTGCCATTCTGCAGGACAGCCGCATGGTTCATGCTGGGCGGCCTCCCACTGAGGGAGTGAAGTTTGGTTCTCGGCAGCGCATGATTTTCTCAGGTTCCGCGGCTTCGTTTGATTCCATGTCGGTCATGCAATGCCTGGTGCGACTCATGAGTGGTCCTCAAATATTTAATGATTATTTGGTGGATTTTGATGGCATTTTCGGGTGACCCAGTTGCTTTTCAAATGCAACTTAGGTTTGGTGTGAACTGCTTCTTCAATGTGGATACCAAACGCTTGGTCCTGCCCCCGGTTCAGATGTCGTCAGCAAGACGCCTTGGAAACAGGGATCTTTTGCACCGGCTCAGTGTCAGGTAACATCCCCAAGCATGAACATGGCCGCCGCCGTTCAGACCTTAGGATAAATTACAAATCGAGATCTTTGAGTTTTACAGTATATATGCCAGTATATGCATGTTTTTACCTTTCGTTGTTGACAAAAGATGTGAACAGTTGAGAATCTGCATTGGTCTCCAAAACCAGAAGCTCTTCTCAATCCTTCTCTCCAGCATTCCTCCACCATGTACATGTATATATATACAGTATATATAATACAACGTTGTAGCATGTTGTCCCTGCGGTCTCTGCTCAAACTTGCGACTGCGAGGAATGCCACCGTGTGGAAGTGGCTCGTTTACAAGATCAATTGGTTTGGATGGACGAGGTGCAGCCGACTTGGATGGTCATGGAGTCATGGGATGTTTGACTAATAGATACCCGGCCTGGTGAACGTTTACATTTTGCGAACTGGAAAGATCCACCATGCTATTAATGGGAAAATCCACTATTTCGACTGGGCCATTTTCAATTGCTATGTTAGTTCACCAGAGGGTAATAGGATGCAAAACATGCCGTACAGCCCACGCGTTCATCATCTCTCAATGTCAGTCGTTGCAGGCTCGTAATGCAATGCCATGCCATGCCGGTTCAACACGCTCCGAAACTGCACACCACGCAGGGCGCCCCGTCAGTGCGACGACGGACCTTCACGTCCCTGATCCCAGTGATCTCGCCCCGACTCCCGACAATTCCGGACATATTTTGAACATGTTTGAACTTTGAACATGATTGTGAAAAGGAGTTCGGCTGGTAGCTGGTGAGATCTTGTGAGTCAAATGTGGCAAAGTTGCAAGGTTCAACACTGAAGCGCAGATCCGGGCGGTGCTACCCTCACCTTTCAAAAGTTTACTTGAGTCATCTTGAGTCTGATTCCTGACTGAGCATGTTGGACGAGTGCTCAAGCTCCTGAGATGTGTCAGGTTCCGTATTTTTTGAGTGCTGAAGAGGCTGGAAGAGAACCAATCTGTTGCGAGCTGGACCTGAGCATGTCAAACAACAGGTCGACAGGCTCCGGAGCGATGCTGATCAAACTTCCAATGGAGGTGCCGCGGTGCCCCAAGGGGGCTCGATGCGGATACCATGGGATACCATGGGATAGCAAAGGCATCCCATCGCCCATCGCCCGATTTTGTAAGTTTGTTCATGTTTCTTCGTTGCCGTCATCAAGGCGCATGATCACCGCAAAGAATTGGTCCTGGTAGTAGATACTGGTAGCAAAATGGTGCATGTAATCAAACTACTCATCATTTGCTGGTGTTTGGTTTCAGGGAAGACTTTTATGATTAGGATGCGTGTTTTAACTCTTTATTATGAGTTATGAAATTATGGGTTGACACGGCTGGGCTGTATTTCATGCCTGGTCGCAGATCGGATGAGAAAAAACCCACCCACTTCACCCCCAAACATCTGGCCTTGACTGTTTGAAGATTTTGAAGGTTCCGAGCCCGGCTTCCAGGGTGCTACAGCTATGACCTCATGCCATGCGGAGCTGAATGGGGGATACATGGGGATACAACATGGTGATAGATGGGGCACAAGTGCCCAACACTTCGGCCACTCACACGAGCACTTTGGAGCTGAAAGTAGGAAACTTTGGAAAGGTTGGAAGATTCCTTGGTGCTGCCGAGGTTGTCTTGAAGACTTTCCCTTTTGAGGACCCTTCTGTTGACGCTATTGAGGCCCAGATGGGTCAAGTTCCGCTTTGTTATCCAGGATCATGACACTCTGGAGATCCCTGGAGGCCCGTTTGATCGATTGGAACGAGTTTGCCCCGGAGAACCTTGGGCAGGGAACTCAGTTGAAACAGCCAGAGGGTCAGCCATGGAGCTGTTTCCCCCAAGGCAGCTGAAACTTGTTCATGGCAACACCCAGATGGGACTGGGCAACCGTGGCTGTGGGCAGAGGCCAGGAGGATCCAGGAGGATCCAGGAGGATTGGTGAATGTGGTGGTTTACCACAGTACTTCAGATGTTCAGGGCCAACTTGTGCAGTGCTGGGAAGCCAAGCCAGGTGTGCCAGCATTTGCCTCTCGGAACAGGCAGCTGTTTTCGCATTTTTTGCGACGACCCATGCCATACTTTGTTGGGTTGAAACTGCAGAGACCTCGACACATCAGACGCTACTCCCCTGGTCGAATTGACGGACGACGTATCAAAAGGTTCTGGCACGATATGAATATGGCACGACGCATTCTAATTAATGTATAGAGTCGTAAGGTATTAATTATAATCATATTATAATCATACTATTATATTGTAATCATATTTGCCTGTATATGACAGTACTGACATGTCGTATCACAGCAATTATCAGTAGATTCAGTAGATAACGAATTTTGCCACCTCCATCAGGTGGAGGTGCACTTTCCACACCTGGGTATTCTGGTGGCCATGCGCAGCGGCGATTTGGTGGAGTGGTTCAGGGCTTGGGGGGCCTTGCTGTCAGAGGGTTGGGCACAGCTATGGCATTTCTTGGGATGCGGACAGTTTGCCCAGTACAACAGTATGGAAGTGGAACCACGATCCTTTATGATTGAAACTAAGCATAACTAAGCGGTCTTGCATATTGGAATAATTCATGGCGAAAATGCTGAGTTTTTTCCCCGAAATTTGGGAACTCAGGATGAAACAATCAACGCATCTTCAACGGGTCATTTCATTTGAGATGCTGAGCTTGGCCAACACGGCCTCCGTGAAGTTCGCACCGTCGCGAGGCCCAATGCTTGGTTTCAAGAAGAGGCCGGCAGCGACAAGGTGACTGTGTGGCACCCGGAGCCACTTCCGAGAAGGTCCTGATATTTTTGGAGATTTCAAGGGCGGATTGGCAACACATAGAATTCATCATTGATTCGTCATTGATGAATTCTAATGTTGACTATAAATAAAATTAAATAAACTTATATGATATGCCATTTAGTCATTGTATATATATATATGTTATATATATATATTATAATCATTAATTTTGTGCTTACTTTCTGTCATCGATCTGCAACCAAATTTCCGGGCCTTTTTGCTGTTGTGAGAACCAAGCAGTTGAGGTGGAAGATGTGAGAACTTCGCATGTGGCAAGCTCGGCTTTGGCAGCCTGATTCCTGGGTGAACGGTTTGTCACATGGATGCGGCTCCAAGTCAGCCTGAGGTCCATTTGTCCGACTGCTTGATGCTGGATGTCAGCTTCCACGACAAGCAGCGCCCACAGCATTTGGCTGCTGATGTTCAGAGTCATCGCCATCCTCCAATGAGGTCTGTGCGGCCGTTGAATGCAAGCTGAAGCTGCTCGGGACAAAAGATTGGCAGACCCAGAAGCGCCGTGAGCGGTGCATTTTCACTGTTCTGTTCTTGTTGGTTGGAGGCGTTGCGGCGTTGCTGTAGTTGATGGTGAGCTTTTCCATCCCCAATTGCATGAACTCAATGCGATGTTGTGACCTTGATGTATTTGAAGTTCTCGGCCTCATTTTTGGCTTCAATGAGTGGCGCAACCTGTTCGGCACATGTTGAATCCATTCAAATCAAGTCAGCGGGGGCTTTTGTTGATTTTCCGCATGATTTTCCCCTTTTTCAGGATTTTCAGGCTGGTGTTCCACCCTCAAACTCCAGAGCTGTTGCAATGATCGTGGTCTCCAGCCATGGCAAACCGCACTGCTGGTGCCCCAATGACCTCAGCAGTGCAATCAGGTGGGTGTCATGGGCACAATTGGTGATTACCTATGATTTTCTATGATTTGGATACTACTATGGTAATCACCAATGATTTTCTATGGTAATCACCAATTTGGGAGAACCATGATTTGGATATTGATTTGGGAGAACCATGATTATCTACATTTATCTACTATGATTCTCCTCCGTTCGATGCTGTTTTGACCCAGCATGGTCTCGCAGCAATTTGGTGCCTCTCAAGCTCCTGATCGGCGACTCGCGTGGTTGGTGATAGTTGGTGCGACGGCTTACATGGCGTTGACATCTTTGATTGCAACGGCCTGTTTGGTGGAGGTGCTGGGTCAATTTACCATTGATGATTCGACTTACTCCCATGAGTGGATGTCGAGAACAGCCATGCCCCTGAAGCGCAGCGATATGACCGCGACCACAGTGGCGGATGCAATCTACATCATTGGTGGCTGCAGCAACGACCAGGAATATAGTGCTGGTGCTGGGATGTATCTGGGCGTAGCTTCCACGGCTTGTGTGCAGTTGTGAAGCCGCACACTTTAAAGATTCCATTCTATAATTCGTGCATATAGGAGGATACACGTGGTATGACGTATCAATGTGGTATTGCTGCTTGCAGCAACACACTTCGACTCTATAGAAAGGCTAGCACCCACTTCTTAGTGGTGATTGAACTCCTGGTAGTTTGTTTTGTCCCTTGAATTTTCAGTAAGAGGCTGGGTTCAGCTTCACCAGCAGCCAGCAGCCAGGTATTTTTGCACAGGGCTCACTGCGGCCACGCACAAGTACACCCCTGCGGATGATTCCTACCAGGCCATGAATGATGCACCGCGGGTGCGCTACCGTCACGCTGCCGCAGCCGTCGGCACCCGCATCTTCCTGTTTGGAGGTCGCGATATTCATGACTATCTCATTCCACAGGTGGGGCTTGGGGAGCGGTAAGTTTTTTCGATTTTGATTCTGATCATAGTGAGATGGCACTGGGATGCTGTGGATGGCAGGCATTCGCAGGTCATGGCAGGTGATTGTTTCATTCATTGGCCAGGTGGCCAAGGTGACATTGAAACCTCCAGCAGTCAGCCGAGGTGGATGTCTTTGACACGGTGGATGCAAGCTGGAGCACCTTGACCACTGAGATGCCGAATGCCAGCTCCGATCTGTCAGCTTTTGTGCACGATGGCAAGATCTATGTCCTTGGAGGCAGGAAACTCAGAAAACTCAGCCCTGGTCTGCAAGATCTGCAAGACAGTTTCAATGACGACAGGATGAAACGTTCTTTCCATAAGCTTCCAGTGACATGATTTTGATTGATTTTGCCTCCAAGTTTCCATAGCCATCCACCATCACCCATCATTTCCCAGCAATTCCCAGCAATTCCCAGCAACGCAGGCTACAATGCCGACTACAGCGCCGCTCTTACTCAAATGATGATCTTTGATCCCACTGAAGCCGGAAGTGCTGCGTGGAGCCCCTCCTACTCCTTGAACCAGGGACGAGGTGATAAAACCTGGGAGTTGGGTAGCTATTATGCCAGCGAAAAAAGGGGGAATAAACATCCACAATTACTGGCCATTTCCGGGTTCACCCGTGCACCAGTTCTTTTTTTCAAATTAGCCATTTCAATTACTACCTGGTTTAATTGCTACCTGGTTTAATGCCGACCATGTTTCTGATTCTGATGTGTGAATTTTATGATCCAATGCTATCAGAAGACTTGAAGACCCACCAACAAAACTCATTGGAAATAATTACTTTGGTTTCCATTGGTTATCCATGAAACTTGATGTTGCTTTATTGCATCCATTGGTGCTTGGGGTTGGCTAATCCCATCAGAGATTGGATCGATTGGACCGGTCTACTGCTCGCGCAGTGAGGTGATGCGGCTTCCGCGATTGCTTCCGACGTCGCCTTTGCGTTGGGAGGTTTTCATCACACCAACTGGTCTTATCCCATGGGCCATTTGGAGGCGCAACCGGGTACCATCCGGTCCCGGATGGAAGTCACCAGCGAAATCTAAAGAGGGTCATGTTAAAAACCATTTAAGCACAGTGAACAAATAGCTTTGTACAACCAAATCGCAGGAAAAACTCAAGAACTAGTGATTGCCAACAGCATCCAACAGCCATATTGAATTGCCAGAAACAAGTTGACCAAGTTCAGGACCTTGGTTTCTTTAAACTCACCGAACTTCCTGGAGCCTTTGGACATTTTAGAACTGATCATATTGATTTGGAGTCCCTGATTGCAAAAGTGCCGGCTTACATTTCATTTTATACTTTGATTACTACTAAATAGTAGTAGCTATGTTTAGCTTATGATGCATTTGTTTGTTTGATTCATTCGCTTCCTGACCTACCTTGTAAAAAAGAATGAACTAACTCAAATTGTGCTTCTACTTTCTATCATTTTCTATCCATATGATCGTATCCCACATTGTGTGATAGACCAGGCGCATGAGATCCCATCGCATCCCATCGCCCAAATGGCTGGCCTGGCTGGCCATGGCCAGGTTTTCTTCTTGTCGAATCCGGAAGGCGGCTGGAAGTCGCGCACCGCCATGAAGGTGGCCCGGGGCGACAAGGCTGTGGCCGTGCTACACGACAAGCTGCACGTGGTGGGTGGAGAGACCAAGAATTCACAAGGACATTCGACTCCATTGATGGATGTGGAGGCCCCTTTCGGAGTTCGGATCTGTGTTGCATTCATAGTACATCATAGGTCATCATAGTACATTATAGTGCATTATAATACTAGTAACAATGATTTATAATGATCTGGCATGTACATTAATGTGCTATATGTATTCTATTGTATTCTTGTATTATGTTGCAATGTAATTTGATTTCAAGTACGGTTGTGTGCTGTGATGCGAAGTCATGCAGTGTAATGTCGTATTATATTGTATTATAATATATGTCCTTTTGAATCTGAACACCTTCTCGCATATACATGGAGGTTTCCTGAAATGGGAGTACCTAAAACCATGGGTTTCAATACTAGCATGGGTTTCAATACTAGAATGGTCTAATTTTAGATGATTTGGGGTTTTAGGCAACCTCATGCAATGCAATGCAATGCAATGCAATGCAATGCAATGCAATGCAATGCAATGCAATGCAATGCAATGCAATGCAATGTATATAATGTGATGCAATGATGATATGTAATGTAATGTAATGTAATGGAATGGAATGGAATGGAATGGAATGGAATGTTTGTATGTATGTTTGTATGTGTATAGATTATATTATTTTTGGTTTTATCATAGTATCTTATATTTTTTAACATTATATTACATTATATTACATTATATAATATTATATTGTGTTATATTTTGCATTTTTTATATCGTTATATTATTGTTATAGTTTCTTTTTTATTTTATTATTTTTAATATGCCATTGCAATTTATAGATTTTGAAATATTTTAACATATTTTAATATACAGTATATATATATATTTTAAATTATTGTATTATACTACGTTGTTTATGAAATATGATGTTATATGATGAAACACTTTATTATAAACTAATATTCGTTCTAATTCTATTCTATCCTATTCTAATTCTAATTCTATTCTATTCTATTACATTGTATGATATTACTTCATATTATATTAATTAGGTATACTTAGTAACATTTAGTCACTTAGTGATGAACGTGATGAATGTGATGAATGTGAACCCAAGGATGTACAATGGACATCAATGGACCCCCTCAGTACTCACCATGAGATATCCAGGTCTACGACGTTGGTACAGACACCTGGTACGAAGGAGGCAACATTCCATCCCATCGCTTCCGCTTCGTGGCTGCGGCGCACGCTGATTCCATCTACATCTTTGGAGGACAAGGCGCCCTGATCGGATCCCACAACGCTGCGGGGTCCAAATATCCCGTGTTGGATGTGGTGGATCGCTACAAAGAGACGATCACCATTGGCGTCACTGGGCTGGAGCCGATGTCTACCCTTGGTGGTGGGGGGGTGATGGGCATTTCCATAGATGGCGCCATATGGCGCCCAAAGAGTTCTGGCAAAGCATTTTCACCCACCAGCTGCTGACCTTAATTTGTTCTTTTCTTTGCCAATTCCATGCCAATTCCCACATGAGGTGAACTCAGCTCCAATCTTTGCGAGCTTCAAAACTCTCCTGGTAACGCTGGGTTTTTGGACCTTGGCCCAGTGATTGTCCTTGTCAGCTGAAAATGGCTGAGTCCGGGTTTGAAACGTTGGCTCTTGCTCGGACCCATGTCTGAGCACGGGCTCAGCCGCCAGGTTGACTTGGATAAGTTATAGATAAGCTCACTCTGGACCTGTAGCATGCCGAATGCTGCACGGTGACGACACAACTTTTCTTGATCCACTGAAGTCATTCAAGTATTGAAATATATATATATATATTTGTATATGTTAAATTTGAAACCTCATTTTGCGCATTCATGTGATTCTCAAGAAGTTTTTTCCCCAAGAAATCCATGTCTCATTTGTTTCGCTCAAGTTGTGTCATTGTGCTGTGGCCTTGTGGAGCTCGGCCTTTCATCACTTGACGCCTTGCACCTTGCGGTTTGAAAAGGCAACTGCCCAAATTTGCCCAGTTGGGTGATTTGATGCGATTTGTTTCCAAAGATTGCCATGATGACCTTAGGATCTTCGGGGGTTTCCCGACGACAGAGGTAACCCAGCCCCAGGACATCACAGGACATCATACAGGTGTGAGATGGCAGAATGCATCCGGCATGGCAGTACTAAGGTGACACCTTGCCAGCGTCGAAATGCGGGCCTGTTGGATTTGGAAATCGGCTTGAGGAGCAACAGGGGATTGCACCAGCAGACACGGTGACAAAGTGTGGTGCTGTAGTTGAATCGACAGCAGGGGTTGGAAATTTGAACATGTTGTTCGTGACCGTTCACTGACTTGCACGCAGCAAGAAGTACCAGTATAGTTATAGAACAGACATGAACAAGCAATTTGTGCATTCCAAGTGGCAGTCTGGCCCAAGAGAGCGGTGCGGGGACATCCTACGAGATGATTCGGTCACAGTCAGAGAAAGGATGCCTTGATGATGGGAGCGTCCGAGGGTTGCGATCTACGCTGCAACTTGGTTCTGAAGATTCAGCCATATTCCGTGTGGCATTAGTTGCCGAAATTCTGGGGCAAGCATTTGCCACTATCATGCTGCGATTTCATTGTTTGGAAACCCCGCCGAATCTGCTGTTTCATCCTTTTCTGGGCTGCTACTCAGCTACTGTACATGTGCCACAGGTGTTGACATTTGTTATATATTCGAAAACACTTCAAATTCTTCAAGATGTTTGAGATGTTTGCAAATGTTTGCACACAAATGGCGATTAATTATCCATGATCAAAGCATAGATCATGATGATCATAGCATATCATAAACACATCATAGATCTTGATCTCCCCCTACCATCCAGGGATCCTCCAGGGATCACCCGGAGGTCCTGCGCCTCCCTGGCCTCCAGTGGCCTCTTCACTGGCACACTGATGTCCCGCAGCGGCCGCTCGTGTGCAGCGTCGTTGTCCCCGACGCCCAAGTCGCGGAGCCACGGGAGGTGCTACAGCCCCAGGAGATTCGCCTCAAGACACGTGCCATCGGCTGCCGAAGAGCTGGCAGCACACAGTCAGGTGGGGAGAATGAGTTATGTGGAGATTTCATGATTTCGATGGGTCAATACTGAATCATTTCCGATGCAATACATACATAGATTGGGGGCGATGAACATCCATTTGCAAGATGCGGGATCAAAGTGGGTCTCTTGTGAGTGGTGATGTTGACAGGATCTTCAAGAGATTCCAGGGGACTCTGCCAGGTCCTGGAAGCTAGCACTATCAAGCGTTTTGATGGCCTGATGAAGCATCTGAAGCGCAACACAGACAAGCAAGACTTCGAGAAGCAAGTGCTGGCTTCACCACCTGAAATCCTGGTGCCAGAGGAGTTTGATGAGGTGCTTCGTGGCGAGTTTGCCCGCCATTGCAGCTATGGCGAGAGGCTGAACACCGAGCTCATGCATTCGGGCAAATGGGTGAAGATGCTCAAAGAGCATGGCTTCATCCCAGCTGCCAACTACGACAGCCCCCGCAAGGGCGACAAGGGCGACAGCCCTCGGAAGGGCAGGGTGAAGGGTGAGGCAGGACAGCCATGCCTTTCATCCAGGGTGGATGCTGATATCATCTTCCAACGGGTACTTCATGACACTGACTATGGGGGCAAGCGCCTGACATATGATTTCTTTTGCAAGGCCTTGTGCTTGGTGGCCGTGAAGACCTATCCAGATCTCGACTGGGAAGCTGCCATGGGTGAAGTCCTCAATCGTGTGGCGGCTTCGGTGCAGGACTTGGAATTGGTGGGGGACGAGCAGGACTTCTCCTTGGATCCCAATGTGTTGTTACTTGGTCCTCATGGATTTTCATAGGTTTTCCCGAAATTCTTCAAATGCTGTTCTGGTTGCATTTTTTTTTACTATTTCTGAAGCTCCAAAATCAGGGATCTTTTTTTTTGATGAGGGGCAGCCATCTTCCCCCAAACTTCGGCCAGTCGGCCAGGTTGGTTCTGGAACACTTCAAGCCAAAGTTGCACGACCTCTTCCGCTCCTTTGCCCGAAGGCAACTTCCAGGACCTACAGATGCCAAGGTGGGCAGTGGCACAACCCGCCTGAAAGAGCGGACGATTTGGAAGCAGACACAGGAGCTGTTGGCATTTGTCGGCTATCCATGACAGAGTTTTCATGAGTTTTCTGAAATGATGTTCATAATTTCGGATGCAAAGTCCTACTCGCATGCGGACTTTCTATCAATCAAGTGCGCAAGTTTGCTGTTCAGCTCTTTGTCGCACATTGGCATGCATGTGTGTTGCTATACTTCAGGCCACTGTTGTCCCAATCTTGTCCCTATTCCTACGGGCCAATCTCTAGAAGCCCATCAATCATATACCATCATATTACCATCATATATTATCATGTTCTATAGATTTCTATAGTGACTATACATGTATAGTGTCTCTATGTAGTGACTATAGTGGCTACACTGCTTGACAGATCTTGACAGATCACGGGTAAGATCCATCCCATCGGATGCCACCGGCCAGGAGACCATGTTTGCCTCCCGAGCGTCAAGGACCTCCTCCATTCTGGCAAGCAAAGACGACACGTTTTTGGGCCAAAGGTTGGATCAGGTTCTGGATCATTTTGGGATATATATGATATATTTGGGCATGATTTTGGAACATTTTTTTTTTGGAGAATTGTTGGACCTTTTTTGGTGTTTCAGTGTTTGGCCGGAAGGGTTTTGAATAAGTTCTGCATTGCTTCACACTTTCTCCCCCAAACGTATCTTGGATTTCCTCAAGGAGTTTGAGTCTAAGAATAAAGTGCGGATAAGTTTCTGCATCAACGGCTGTTCCATTTTTCATTACCAGATGTTTGTTTGTATATGCTTTGCTAGGTGCTGCTAATTACACAGTGTGATGTGTAGTGTAGTGCTCATCTACGACCATGCGGCATTCAGCACCTAAAGTCTCAATCATATCCAATCATTGTGATAGATCCCCTCCATTTACAGCAAGTTCTTTGCTTCTTCACGGCATGTTGTCCCAGCCCAGGTTGAACGATGAGGACTTCAGTCCAAATGTCCTGCCGGCCGTGAAGGAATCCGAGGAACAGGGCGACACCAAGGGCAAGGACGAGGAGATGTTGCCACACCAAGTGGCCTCGTCTCCCATGCTGCCCACTGCTGCCCTGGGATTTGATCTCAACAGCACCATGGGATCCAAGAATGGCATGTCACCCATGTCACCCAAAAGTCCAGCTTGGATGGCTTGGGCCGAGAGTTTGGGGCTTTTGAGCCCAGGAAATGGTACTCGGAAATCCATGAGCAGTCGCAGTGGCCAGTGGAGCCCTGTGGATCCGTACACCTATGCGTGTGGAAGCCCAACCATTCGAAACCGTCAAAGCTTCCTATCCTTGGAGCAGCTCCTGTCCTTATGCAAGGAGCTTTCAGTGATGCCAGATTTCATCAGCCGACAAGCTGTGGTGCGAATCTTCAAGAGAGCCCAGTGTGCAGGATCCACCTCGGCCCATCAAGGTAGCAACTTTGGCTATCTCACACAAGAGGCCTTTGTGGATGCCATGGGGAGGATTGGGATCCAAGCATATTCTGAAGCACCATACTGCGATGAGTACCCTGAAGCTCACGAAAAGATTCATGCATTCCTCCTTGATCGACTTCCAGGGCAGATTCGTGCCATGCGTGACACCTTCATGTACGGCTGTAGCGGGCGAGGCAAAACGGTCCAGCCAGGCTACATGGCCAAGTGAAAATGATCCCACTGGTATGTCTCAAAGCTCCCGTCCATTGCATTGATAAATACATCTCACAATACTTGATGTTGTGATTTTTTTGGGGTAGCTATGAAACTATATGAAACTGATGGAAATGACAGTTTTTTTTTGAGACATGCTCCTGCAACTTTCTCGGCTTGGACACCCAAAGGGATGTTTTAGTCGCGCTTCTCTGGCATTTCCTGGCTGACAGGCAGCCAGATGCCAGAAGTTGAGGCACCTTTTTCGTTGCTGTGTGCCAAGCGCACCAAATGAGCAATGAGCATCGTGCCAAGGGGAAAACATGGGAAATCTGCGCTGTCCTGAATTGCTGTTTGTAGCTTGACAATGGCTTAAATCGTTCGTTCATAATGCATATCCCATTTGAATCCATTTGATATATCCCCATGCTTGTTAGTTTTATCGAAGGAAGTTTAGAAGTCAAACTTCCGACAATATGGACAGATGAAAAGCAGAGCAGGGCAGAGGCAGAGAGAAGAGGAAGATTAGAAGAGAGAAGATCAGAAGAGAAAGAGTAAGAAGAAAGAAGATGCAGATGCGCGAAAAGGTAGGAAAGTCGCGAAACACTGTGTTTTTCCAATGATTTGTGGCTCCGGAGGGTCGAAAAGTAGGCTTGCTAAAGCGGCGGGTGCGGAGCCAGCTGGCCAGACGAGAGATGAAAAATTGCACGCCGTTGTGGCGCGAAGCACATTTCCAAGTCAAAATGTACAAAGCACACCATGGTCGGACCACTTTTGGAAGTTGAGATGTCAAAAAAGTGCACGCCGTTGTGGCGCGAAGCAAATTTCCAAGTCAAAATGTGCAAAACACACCAGGTCCGGACCACTTTTGGAAGTTGTGATGTCGAAAAAGTGCACGCCGTTGTGGCGCGAAGCACATTTCCAAGTCAAAATGTACAAAACACCAGGGGTTCGGACCACTTTTGGAAGTCCAGATGTCGAAAAAGTGCACGCCGTTGTGGCGCGAAGCACATTTTGAAGTCAAAAGTGCTAAAAACTAGCGGTCTCGGACCACTTTTGGAAGTTGAGATGTCAAAAAAGTGCACGCCGTTGTGGCGCGAAGCACATTTCGAGGTCAAATTGTACAAAACACTAGGGGTTCGGACCATTTTTGGAGGTTCAGATGTTGAAAAAGTGTACGCCGTTGTGGCGCGAAGCACACTTCGAAGTCACACTACATTACAGTACATTACACTCCAGTACACTCCACTACATTAAATTACACTACACCACACTACATTACACTGAATGACACTGCAACACAGATAGACAGGTAGACAGATAGACAGATGAAAGGGAGAGAGAGACAGACAGGTAGGTAGATAGATAGATAGATAGATAGGTAATTTGATGAAAGGGAGAGAGAGAGAGAGAGGCCAGCTGGGTAGATGAGATAGATAGATAGATGGCTAGACAGATAGACAGACAGAAAGACAGACAGAGCGATAGACAGACAGACAGACAGACAGACAGACAGACAGACAGACAGACAGATAGATAGATAGACAGACAGATAGATAGATAGATAGATAGAGAGATAGATAGATAGAAAGAAAGATAGATAGATACATCGATAGATGCATAGATCGATACATGGAGAGATAGATAGATACATAGAGAGATAGATAGATAGACGGAGAGATAGATAGAGAGAGAGATAGATAGATAGATCGATAGATAGATAGATAGATCGATAGATCGATAGACAGATAGATAGACACATAGATAGGTCGATAGATAGATAGACACATAGATAGATACATAGACAGATGGACAGACAGACAGATAGATAAATAGATAGATCGATAGACGGACAGATAGATAAATAGTTAGAGGGACAGCTAGAGAAATAGATGGCGAGACAGACAGATAGATACATGGACACATAGACAGATAGTTAGACACCAAGGCAAATAGAGAAATAGATGGGTAGAGACATAGACACATAGATAGACAGATAGACAGATAGACAGACAGACAGATAGAGAGAGAGAGAGAGAGGGAGAGAGAGAGAGAGAGATATATATATATTTGACCGCAGCGGCCCCGACACATGCCAGCGTGTATGTCTTTTCTGACTGCACGATGATGCACTCGAGCATTTGTGCTTCATTGCCAGCCCTGTCGAAGATTCTTGTCCGTTGCTGCTTGGAAAAACTGGGATGTGCTAGATTTCGTCATGTGTTTGTAGTCTGCTGTGTTAACACTGTAGGAGCTGTTGAAGTTTCAATTTCGGAATATGAGGATCGTATCAGTACACGGTAGATGGATGGATTCGGATGGATGGATGGGTGGATGGATGGATGGATGGATAGATAGATAGACAGGCAGGCACGCAGATAGACACCACTGCACTACATTACACTACCTTCCATTACACTTCACTACATTACACTACACTACACTCCACTACACTACAATTACAACTGCAACTGCACAACTACACTCCACTACACTGCACTACACTACACTGCACTCAATTACACTCAATTACACTGCATTACATTACATTACACTACACTCCACTACACTACACTACCTTACACTACACTACTCCCACTACACTTCACTACATTACACTACACGACACTCCACAACACTACGACTACACCTACACAACTACACTCCACTACACTCCACTACACTCCACTACACTACATCCCACTACACTACACTACACTACAACTCCCCAACTACATTCCACCACACTCCGCTGCACTAAATTACACTACGCTACACTGCATGACACTACACTACACTCCACTACACTACATTACACTACACTAGTACACTACACTACCTTCCACTACACTTCACTACATTGCACTACACTACACTCAACTACACTACAACTACACCTACAACTACACTCCACTAAACTCCACTACACTAAGTTACACTACGCTCAATTACACTGCACTACACTACACTACATTACACTGCACTACATTACATTCCACTACACTACACTACAGTACACTACACTGCATTAGACTGGATGACACTGCACCATAGATAGACAGGTAGACAGTAACCCAGATAGACAGATGAAAGAGAGAGAAAGAGAGATAGATAGATAGATCGATAGCAGGATAGATACATAGAAAATAGATAGGTAGGTAGGTAGATGGCAGAGAAAGAGAGAGAAAGAGTGAGAGAGATCAAGCACCTTTCAATCCATCAGTGGCTTCGCTCTGTCATCCTTGATTCACAAGAACCAACCCTTCCTATAGGTTTCCTATTTTTGAAACTTCCGCCACCGCCTTGTGCGGTACTACTGGTACCCATACTATCCATATATTATCCATTTGTCATCCATTTATCCATGTATCCATGGCTCAGTTTTTTGTTGCCCCCAGGTCCAACCCGTGACCAGGATGGGTGGCCTTGGAGAAACCATCTATGAACAGCTGTCGAAGCTGGCACAGGCGGGTCCAGAAACCCATGGGTTTCGTAGGGGGATTTCATTACACATATGGAAGATGGACCGTATCTACGGGGCTGTTTATTTCGTAGGGGGATTGGGGATTAATGTGTAAAAGATATAGATGTTCAGATGTTCAAGGATCTTTCATGATGTTTTCTTCTATATTGAACATTCTTATCGTATTTATTTTGTTGTTTTCATGTGTTTTCTGGGGTTTTGATCTGTTTGAGTTGATATATGGGCATATTATATCGATATATCCATATATTACCCACCTTTTCCCTATATCTGGGTGTTCATCAATTTCATCCACCTTTTTGGGGCAACGGCAGATCCGCTTGAACTTGCACGGCCTGCACGGCGGCACACCGGTGAGCACCGACCGTGGCTCGGCAATCCATGAGCCCTTTGGGGCACGTTGAAAAACCTGATTCCAAATTTGCCAATCACACACCCAAATTATGGTACCCTATTGATAATGGCCATTTATAGTGGATTTTCCCATTAAACATGGTGATTTCCCATAGTTATGTTAAATTACCAGAGGGTAATTATGGGCATGTATTTTTTCAAAAGTGGGTTTATGGATTTGTGTTGCATCTACAGTAACTAGTAACTAGACCTTTTCCCCCGAGGATTTGGAGGGCCAAAATGTTGACCGACTAAAGCTTCCCACCATTTCCTACCAAGAGTTTGCGGTTTTGCAACCAGCGTTCAAAATATTAGAGTGCATGATGACGATGACTATGACGATGACGACGATGAGGATGATGAGGATGATGATGATGATGATGATCATGATGATGATGATGATGATCGCTGAGATTTGGTCACCACCATCCAGACTTGTGCCATTGTGTGCCAGTCAGTTGCCTTTTGGCCAAGTGTTGGCCCAGGTTGGGCAAAGTTCTTGCAGGCCGGCGGCGAAGTCACTCGTGATGGCTTGCCTGAAAGTATCCTCAATGGAAACTCATCCTTTTGATCGGAATGGGAGAAGTCAACATTTGGAGGCTTCTTCATTGCCATGTTTTCTAAAAACCATAGTGCATGCAATGTGTGAAAATGACAGCAGATAGCAGCATGAACATTTGGAGCTGAATCAAAGGCCCACAACACACGAAAGGATCTGTCGCAGCATCAGCGTTGGATTCGGACCTTCTGTGCGCCTGCTGCAGCGCTGATCGTGCTCTTGGACATCGAGCTTCATGTGATGGCGTCTTGGATTCCTACTTGCAGATGCGTTTGCGCATTGTAGATATGGCGCCAAACTCCAGCAAGCAACTGAAACCCACACAGATATAATCCATGATGTTTCCTGCTGAAGCAGACCATCCATCACCATCCTTTCCTTGTGGAGATCCGTGACGCTGCGCCGAGTCCTTGGTGGAAGTTCCCCGAGTCACATGTGGCACTTTGGCACGGCTTTCGTTGGTGAAACTCCAGGCAACTTGGCGTGGGGGTTTTGAGGTCTTCGTTATGCTGGACAGTGCTGGCAAGTTTTGCTATACGCTAAATGGATCTAAATGGAGCCCCACTTGAAATTTGGATTATAAGAGACGGAGCTATTTGGCAGAATAGTAGCACAGCCAGACTGAAAGTAAAAGATAGTAAAAGCTGTCAGTGGAGGCACTCAGATACTCCAGCAGATGAGGACTACAAGCAGATAAAATTGAGAATGGAGGATGAGGACGATGAGGATGCGCATTTCCATGGCTGGAAAGAGGCCAGTTGGGTGACCGGCGCTCTGAGTCTGTGATCCTGCAGCGAGACCATTCCAGAAACGAGCCCTCGAGGAACCTCATCAAACTCCTAGGCCAATGACGCCTCGAATTAAACACGCCAAATGGTTGCATCCGAAGGGAAAAATCATTGTTTCAATTTGTTTGATATCATGTTGAACATGTTTGAACCTATTTTTTGAAGCCATTTTTGGAGGATTTCTTCATATTTTTCCCACTTCAAGCGGCCTTTTCAGGGGCCTTGCCCCTGGATCCCCCCGATCCTCGATCCTCCCAGATCATCACTGCAGCGGAGCAAACCACTTTTGGTGTTCTCGATGTGGTGCACCGCTGGGGAAGGCGCTGCCAGCTGCTCAAGGAGCACCAGCAAATGGGTATGAGTCAAAACCTTGGTACCCTAGTGAACCCCAAATAGCTGGTAAATGGATGTTCATCCCCCCAAATATAGCAAGATTGGTTTTGATACATCCCCAAATGAATGGCATTTGACAAACTTAGCCACAAAATGCAACTAACAATATGCGAGTCCAAACACAAAATCCTGGAATTGGTGTGGTTTCTACCTGGGGCTTTGTCCAATTCTTGCGAAACGCCCGATGTTCCAGGCCACCATTTTCAAGGCAATTGAGGCAAGGATCTTCCAGGATTTTCTCACAAACCACAGCGATTGAAGGACACCTCACCAGTGGCACTTGCCTGTTGGCATCCCTTTGAGGCCCCAATTCCAGGCGCATCATGGGAAGACATGGCAGGGGCGCGAACGGCGCGAACCATCGCATGTCCCCTGATTGGATGATGTAGAGAATCTTGAAATATCTTGAAATGGTTCTCATGCCCGGTCCAGAGTCTGTGTTGGTCTAAATTAATTAGTCATGATCATGATCAATCATGAATTTTTGGATTGTCATGCTTTGCCTGAATTAGTCGGTCTGGTACAGCCGTCTTTCCGTTTGGTGCCATTACTGCCTGATCACAGCACCAGATCATTTCTCCTGGCCGCACCCAATCAGGTGCAGATCATGTTTGCATTGCTGGACTTAGTGAGTTGGGAAGAGCTTCGTCCAGTTCCTTCTGGCATTTCATGCGTGGCTTCTTCGTGGAGGCTTTCCAGCACCCGGTGCGGTGACAAATGTCAGGAGATGTCAGGAGTGGGTGCGTCGGTTGATGGGTTTGATATGGCCGGATGTGGCTGTTGGCTCAAGCCCTGAGGGTGTCTCCGTCCTCTTATGTCTACCGTAAGCTCTTTTGACCATGTCAGCGCTGAAGAGGTTGCCAAGCACAACACCGACAAGGATTGCTGGGCCATTGTGGGAGACCAAGTGCTTGACGTCACCAACTTCGTCAGCACCCTGGCGGGAAGAAGTCCATCATGATGTTTGCTGGCACGCCACGGAGGAGTTCGACATGCTGACAGCAAGGTCGATCAAGAAGTACGGCATTGACGAAGGCACTGTGGAGCTGAAGGGCATCAAGAAGTGAAAAATGTATAAAAATGTGAAAAGGCGGCAATTCGTAGCAATGCGTAGCAATGCCTTTCTAAGATTTGAAGCTGGAGTCGGATGAGGCTGGCTTTGCAAACTAGCCCCGGCTTGTGCCGTTGGACCTCGAGAGACCACAGCGTCATCTGCAGACCATGACAGACAGAAGGGATTAAAAAAGGAATGCTGTGGGCGAGGATGTGCAAGTCCGTATCCGGATGTTTTGAGAGATTCCATACTTCCATTGGCCTCAAACTTTGGAGTTTCTACCATGTTTCTACCATGTTTCTGCCATATTCATCAATTTTCATCACCAAATGATGATTTCTGGTGTGTTGGCGGACTTGGAGCCTCTTCACCCAGTACCCGGCAGGTCTTCCGGGTACTTCTGAAGCGGTGGAGCCCCCAGCAGATCCGCTCCTTGCGGCTGCAGTTTGGGGATCTGCATCTCGTCTGCCACGCGAGGCTTTCCCAGGTTGGATGGTTATCACATGGTTATCACCAACTGATCACCTGATCCCCCGGATTCCCCCGGCCCAGGACATATCCCTGTGATCATCGAAACCATCGAAATAGCTTCATGGCCTTCTTTGGCGCATTGGTGGAGCACCCTGTCACAGTGGATCCAGGCCATCTTGGCCCACAATGGCCCAGTGATCCCACCAATCTCCAACCTCCCAGCATCTCCCAGCCACAGCGCGACAGGTTGCGAGCTTTCGCGCCAGTGGCACCTTCCGGTGGTGGCGCTGGGCTCCGTCCCGGACATCGCCCGTGAAGCTGGGGCTGGTGGCAGCTGTGTGCCGATGCGGAGACATGTCGTTGGCCTGCTGGGAGGCTTTCAGGGTTGGAGAAGGGATGGGATGTGTGACTATGGGTGACACCAAGTCCAGTGCATTTGGATATAGATGATTTAGATTGATTGACATTTGTTGGAAAGCCCTGGCCTTTCAGAAGATGGGTTGTGTGAAATTATCACTGGAATTGCGGTAAGGTTTAAAACAATTTGCAATCAAGAGGTTTGCGGGAATCAATAGAGAGGAGAGGAAGCCACAAGTCTCCACCCAGCCCATGCTGAGCTGAGGCCAAAGGCGGCAAAATATCTTGGTGCATGTGAAGAGAGGCCCGTCCACAGCTTCGAGACGTCCCACCAATGCCATGATGGTGAGAAGAGCCGCGCAGCAGGCCCAGGGCAGCATGGGCTTGAGATCCAAGGTTTTTGCGGCTATATCTCATGGTCTCTCACAGTCTGTCATATTTAAGCGCTTACGCGCGACAGCCGGCCAGGGGCCCATGCTGAGGTGATAGGGGTCGAGCAGGGAGCAAGAGCTCAAGGCTATGTTGCCCCATCGGGAGGCTATGTAGGTCCAGCTTGGGGCTATCGGGGGGTAGCTTGGGACTAGGTGGGCGGCGGTTGCAGGGGTCTTTGGGGCGGCATGGGTTGTGGTTGGCGTTGTGGCTATTGCTGTGGAGGTCGTTGTTGTTGTTGTTGTTGTTGTTGTTGTTGTTCTGGTTGTTGTGTGTTGTGTGTTGTGTGTGGTTTGGGGTTTGGGGTTTGGGGTTTCTGGTTCGTGGTTTGTTGTGAACGGCTTGGGGCTATATGGGCCCATCTTGGGGCTATGTTGGCCTATCTTGGCCCATCTTAGGGCTATGTTGGCCCATCTTGGGGCTATGTTGGCCCATCTTGGACCCATCTTAGGGCTAGGTTGGCCCATCTTGGGGCTATGTTGGCCCATCTTGCGGCCTATGTTGGCCCATGTTGACCCATCTTCAGCCACAAACGCCGAAAAATGCGAAAAAATGGGAACAGCAAAAAACACCGTAAAACGCGGGTGTTTTTAGGTACGCAAGATGGTCGGCGGCAGGGGCGGCGGCCCCTCTCTCCTTCCGAGAGGAGAGAACGCCTATTCGGAGAAGAGAGAACGCCTACGGCAAGGACACGGCCAGCACTGGGCCCGGCTGGCCCCTGGCCGGATTATTTAAGCGCTTACGCGCCCTCCTGCACTGCCAGCTGCCAACTTGCTCGCGTCCTCTTGCAGCTGGCTTTCGTCCTGCACAGCTCCGGTCAAAGGACCCTCTCGCAGGGCCAAAACACCATGGCAGTGACGGACGGATCAGGCCCGCGGCCGGCAATCCATAGTGCCAAACGTTGCTTTCTGAACTGATTATAAAAACTAGCTTCAAACATTCAATTTGCTTGCCCTCCTGCACTGCCAGTTGACAACTTGCTCGCGTCCTCTTGCAGCTAGCTTTCGTCTGGCACAGCTCCGGCCAAAACACCATGGCAGTGACGGACGGATCGGGCCCGCGGCCGGCAATCCATAGTGCCAAACGTTGCTTTCTGAACTGAATAAAACCTAGCTTCAAACTTTCAACAAACCTTCAATTTGCTTGCCCTCCTGCACTGCCAGCTACCAACTTGCTCGCGTCCTCTTGCAGCTGGCTTTCGTCCTGCACAGCTCCGGTCAAAGGACCCTCTCGCAGGGCCAAAACACCATGGCAGGGAAAAACGGATCGGGCCCGCGGCCGGCAATCCATAGTG